AGTTTGTTTCCTGAGATTAAGAATTCCTCATATCAGTGAGGTCATATGATACATGTCTTTCTCTGATTGACTTATTTTGCTCAGCATAATACCCTCCAGTTCCATCCACATCGTTGATCCTTGTTTTTGATCAAACTTCAAAACTGCCCTACTACTTATTACTAGGGCTGGTTACTTAACCCTTCTAAGCCTTGGTTTTCCCAGCTGCAAAGCAGAGTAACAATACTGGTATCATGAGATTATTGTATTGATATTTAAAAAGCAACAATAGTGAATATTGATTGAGCACTTTTTATATATTATTTCACTTAATACTCAGGACCTTGTGAAGTAATGTCCATTATTGCTATTTTATAGATGGGAAAGCAAAGGCTTAAAGAACGTCCAGTGTCCAGTTGTCATACAGCTAGCAAATAGGAGAGCCAGAATTCCAATTCAAGTCTCTTAGTCTTCAGTGCCCCAAAACACTTCTCCACTGTACTATTTAAATTTTCACAGTGTTTAGCATAAAGTAAGTGCATAGCTAATTGTATTTGATAAGTGCTTTGCTGTTTTCTTTTAGTCATTTTGCTCAACATACTCACTGTGTTCTGTGATACGTTTTGTGATATGCATGACTATAAGATTACCCAAGAAAGTGTAGATTTAAGTAAAGATCAAAATTAAAAGTTAGAGTCCTTTAGATATTGAATCTTCTTTTCTCTATGTGTGTACACAAATATGCATAAATAGTGTAGCATATATATATACAATATTTTAGGTATCTGTCAAAGCTATTATAGTTTCATTATCACATATGTATGAACATACTCATATTAGGGGAAAATGCAGATATGCTTATACCTAAATGGCCAAATATAAGAATATTCAGACCTAATTATTTTTCCTGCAAATCTGAGATTAACTTTGTTGCTGCTCATTATCACTTTACTGAATAACAAGCTTGAGCAGAATTAATCTTGCTGAATTTCACTTGCTGATTCTTGAATTGACACTGAATTTTTGGCTATGAATCAGGTACCTTTTTTTTTCTTTGATAACCTGTAAATTACTAAACTGTTAGAAGTATACTTGATCTTTTAAACTGACATCAAATACCAGATACAGATATATATTTTTTAAAATTCTTCCACTACTGCTGATAATGATCAAGAACTTCATCCCTGTTTTTTTTTTCTTTTACTTGTTATGTTTTCACTATCTGTAATAATTGAGAGAGTATTTTATATAGTTAGATACAGGTTTGTTTAGATGAACTTGAACAAAATGTTTCCAGTATTATTTTTACCTTTAAATAATAACTAATACTCTTTTAATCACTATGATTTTAATTAGTAAATTACTAGGCTTTTTTTTTTTTTCTCCTTCCCTGATGCTATACCTCTATTGTGGGATTTGTATCTATATTAATCTCTGACTCATGGGAGAGGGCAAAATGCTAAACTCAAAGGTAGAAACTTCTAATTAAGCATCAATACATTTATATAAAGTAGAATGATACTTGTAATATTGAATTTTGCTAAGTCTGACAAAATCATGTGAACACAGTTTGTTTTCTCTGTTAGATTAGATTTGGTTTTAATAATTAGATATTTTTACCAATTGAGATAAAGCTGTAAAATTTCTATACATCTGTCATCTTTAGTTTTTAAACAATACTTATTCCTTTTTGTATAGGCCCTCATTTATATTAACCATTCCACTGTCTTTCCAAGCAAGGAGTCTCTGAACTAAGATTGTATTTCATTTTGGATGGAGTTAAACAAAGTGTTGTTATTTTTTTTCTTTTTTAGGCCATTCATTCTTGCAGATTTAATTTGGCAAACCCACATTAGATAATTTAGCAAAAGAGGAATCCTATTCTTTATCCTATTATAGTAAAACCTCTCACTAATTCAGAATTTATTATACTTCAGATGCAGTATTTGTGATCTTTTTTGAGTAAAAAAATCAAAGTAATTTCTTCCTCTGAATTTTCAGGGTCATACTTATAAGGGGAAACCTGTCTAAAACACTAGCTTTTCAAACCAAGGGCTCAAGAAATGAAGGATTCCTTCAACGTGCCTTCAGCCTCTGGGTCCAGCAATTAATTCTTGTATGTTAAAGGACTTTTATGTTTATGGTACATTTTTATGTAATATAGGCCTATTTTGAATTATAATGTAGGTAACCACATTTTATTTATTGTAGCATTTAGTCTATACTCTGTACTGCTTGTGAAGGTATTAGAACTGAATTTTTACCTAAATGTTTTATGATTAAGACTTTCTCAGTAAGTCATATGGGCCAACCCATTCTATGTTATTCCGAATTAGTGAGGTTTTACTGTCCTAGTGTTATAAAGAGTTTAAAGAATTTTGAAATAATAGAAAGTTAGTTATAAAAAGGGAACTCATAATTTAGGCCAATCTTGTCTTACCTGGATTATTACTAAAGGTTAGAAATACTATATAAAAAAAGAAAGGGTAACACTGAACATAACAGGATTTGATGTTTTTCTGTCTAGCATTCTAAAATGGGCAATAAAAATTCAGATGTAATTAAAAATGTGTGTAGATCCACATGTGTATCTGCATATTATACACACTTGTTTAGAGTTGCTATACCACGTGAGAGTGGCTTAGACTAGTTGACCTTTTGAAATTCCTTCCAGATTTACATTTATTCCATGTGCAAGGAATTTGAATCTTGATGATACAGAGGTCATATGTTAGTGATGTATAGTTTTAGATTAGGAAAAATGAGTTGTCTCCCTTATTTACACATTCCAAACTAAAGTTTTATATTCTGGAATGTGGATTTTATTTTATGGTCAGAATGCCAGAATATTCACAGTCAAATGTAAAAAATAGGAGTGGAGGAAAATGCTTGAAGCAAGTTCAAGGGAGGAAATTATAAAAAGAAGGGGGGAAGAAAGAAGAACTGAAACAGAAAGGTTTGGTTGAGAGTAGTGTTTGGGGGCCAGAAGAAGACCACAAAGTAGAATGGCTGAGGGGTAGGGTGGGACAGGAAAGATGAATGAGAGCCAGCCATTGGATTACAATATATTGGATAAAGCTCTTTGGTCTTTATACATTTTTTAAAGTTCAGTTGAGTGTAACAATACTGATGGACAGGGTAGCCTTTCTGAGATGTATATGGGAAATCTAAGTCATTTGCAAGTCAACTAGGAATTTTTTTTTATGTGGCTGGTACTAACACTATCACTGAGTTTAAAATAATTGTTAAATGACTTTGCATGCAGTTATTTTTATGCAAACTAAATTTTCCCATGTAAACTAATTAGGATTTTGTTATTTGTATAATTTAATGACCCATTTACATTACATAACTGACTAGCTTAATAGTTTTTATCCATAACCAAATCTTTTCTCTGTTTTTATTGATTTAGTGATATTTGCAAACAGAAATATATAGTCTATCTTTCCAAAATTGCTTCTTTGCAGGTAGATTCTTGATCTATCACTTCTAACAGCTGCAGATTCTTCTTGCTTATTTCTCTTAACATTTTTCTCTTGTTCTTCCATAGTAAACTGATTTAAAGTTTTATTTTGAAGATGAATAATGGCTTAATCACAAATTATGACACTTACAGATGGAAGTGGAGAACGAGGAGAAAAAGATGCCAGCAAAATCACAACATATCCTCCAGGCTCTGTGCGATTTGACTGTGAGCTCCGGGCAGTACAAGTCAGCTGTGGATTTCACCATTCAGGTAGCAGCTGGAACTTTAGGGTATAACTGCATTTTTACAATTGTGCTAAATATTTGTTTAGTTTTGACAAATGTAGTCTATTTAGTATGTGTTAAAAGCTGTAGTATGGCAATTTCTCTCCAATCTGTAAAAGCTTTGTATTTGTTACAGAATCTCTTTTTAAAAACTGTGGCATGATAGAATAGGTATTTGTCTAGAAATCTGGTTTTTAATCTGTCTTCTGATAGACTTATTTTATAATTCAATTAATGAAACTCCTGAAGATGAAATAATCCCTAAAATCCCTTTGCACTCTAGGATTCTGCGATTTTTATCACCTGGTCCCATATTTTGCTACTGTTCAATGAAAAATGTGTATCAACAAATTTCTTTTCTTAAAATGTAGAAAATAATTAAATTCTTAGTAAATTATTGACATTTGACCTATATAGCGTAGGTTGTACTATTCAACTGTTATAAAAATAAAAAATGTTAAATTCTTTCTTTGGTACTAAATGTATTTCCTTATTTGATAAGGCATTGACAGATATTAAGGTTCTAACATTTCACTGAAGTTGTGCATAAATTGTACAGAGCTCAAACCCATGTGCTACCTATATAATTATCCTAGATATGAGAGAACGTTATTTTCTATGGAATTTTCTACTCATTATTGATAGGGTTTTACAGTTGGCCCAAACCGGTATCTTATTAAATATTAATATTATTAAGGGGTATTTATAAGAATTTTAATGTATTATGAACTAAAATTATATTATCTTACTAAATATAAATTGCCTGTGATTCAGTTACCCTTTTTTTTTTTTTTTCAAGTTTTTATTTTAATCATCTGGTGCTCATATGACTGGTGCACTCCTTAATCCCCATCAACTATTTCACCCATCCTCCCAACCCATCTCCCCTCTGGTAACCATCAGTTGGTTCTCTATAGTTAAGATTCTGTTTCTTGGTTTGTCTCTCTCAATCTTTTTTTCCCTTTGCTCATTTGTTTTGTTTCTTAAATTCTACAAATGAGTGAAATCATATAGTATTTGTCTTTCTCTGACTTTCTTTTACTCTCTAAGTCCATCCATGTTGTTGCAAATGGCAAGATTTCATTCTTTTTTATGGCTGAATAATATTACATTGTATATACGTATGCTACATATTCTTTATCCATTGATGTCAATTACCCATTTAATGGCTCTGTAAATTTTAAATAGTGAATATTATACTGCTTTCAGAATTTTTATGATAGAAATATAAGATGCATATAATAAAAAAAAGCTGTGTATTTTGGTTTCAGTGGTTTTAATGGAAAATGGAGATGTCTATACATTTGGATATGGGCAGCATGGGCAACTAGGACATGGAGATGTCAATTCCAGGTACTCTGACTTGAAGATACTGTTTTGTTTTGTTTTCTTTTTTCTTTCTAAATATATATTTCTACACCTGAAATTGTATTTATACCACTGTTTTGTAAAGTGTAGCCCATAAATTATTGGTGGATCTTGATTTTGTGGTTGAGTGCTTTTGTGAGGATAGATTATTTTGTGGTTTCAGAAGAAAAGTTGATTTACGTTTTATACATTTAAAATATAAGATTAACTATGATTATCACAAAATCCTACCGTATTCTTAATAATTACTATTTTTTTAAAGGCTGTTCATGGCAATAGAAAAGACAGTGAATATCCCCAAATTGCATTTTTAAAAATCAGCAATGGATTCATTCATATTCCTTGATGTTGTCTGTTTTGAAATTTTGGTCTAATATTAACATGAAATCATGGAAACATGTGAATAATTTTTAAACAAAGCCTGTGGTCTTTCAGAGAAAACTGTTTGACTTATCCAGAATAGTGAAGAACTAATTGTGGTGGAGGCTACCAGACATTGCCTTATACTCATTCTTCCCTACTTCATTTGGGAGTAGAGTTTTAGTTGGTGACATGACCATGCAGCTAAAGACTTCGTTTTCCTCCCTCCATTGCTGCAGAATATGGCCGTGTGAACTAAAATGCTTTGTGCTTTGGAACCATGCTCCTCTCCTTCCTTCCCAGCTTGCTGCCTGGAATCCATGTTTGGTGGCAGGAACTGGAGAAGTTGATACAGCAATCATAAATTGGAAACCATGTATTGAGATTGGCAGAGCTACAAGATAGAAATAGTTTGAGTCCCTGACACCGTAGAACTGCCACATTGGCTCCTTACAAGTGGACGCTTAGCTGAGAGAGAAATAAACTTCTATCTTGTTTAAGTCCCTGTTAACTTTGGCTTTCCTAAAACAGCTGAATCCATTTCCTGCTTAATACAGTAGTGAGAATGCTTTTGGCCAAAAGTATAGAAAATCCATCTTTATTAGTTCAGGACTTGAAGAAGAAGTTGCTAAGACAGGACGTGATGTGCAAAGGATTCATTGGGAGAAAGCTCCTGTGGAAGTTAAAAGGGAAAAGAGCAGGAATAAGCAGGGAAAACTGTCAGACAACGCCCAGGTCACAGGTCTGACCCCTGAGAGAGGAAGGAAGGAAGGATAGAGTAGGAAGTGTCTAGAGTGAAGTGCGGTTCTGAGAGAGTTTCAGGCAGGCAATGGGGTGTCCTCAAGCTGAGGTTGCCTTTGAAGGAGCCCCAAATTGGGCAGGATGGTCCAGCTCAGACATAGGCTGGCAGCAACCTAGGGGAAGAATGGCCACATGGATCCAAAGGAACAGCATCTAAGGCTGTCAGTCAGCTATGCTCCCTAAAGTAGGTTGTCAGAGATCTGAGTGATCCACATATATGGCTGCCTCACCATTGAAACCAGCCTTGTTGATCAAGTCTGGAGATAGGTACGGCAGCTTTAGGCCAGACTTGACTTACTAATTCATTTCGCCATAAGAACCTTCTTTTGTGAATCTCTACTCTGCCTCATTCTCCCTTGTAGTCATAAGATACCTGCCAGAATCAACTGGGTGTATATGGTTTCTCTTTTACATACAGTGAATTACTCTAGTCATTAAATAAAATCCAGGATTTTCACTTTGTTCTGAAACCACCCCGTTACTCTGGCAGGGATGCAGTTATTGCCATTTATATGGTAACGACCAATGATTCTTAATCCTGGCTGCACATTGGAATTACCTAGGGAACCTCAGAAATCCTATGCCTGGATTCTACCTCTAGAATTTCTAAGAAGTGTATGTTGGGAGGTGGGGGTGGGGTGGAGGTGGATGGAGGCAGCAAGGGCAGTGCTGGATAGGATCAAGAGTTTTTCCTAAAAGCTGTCCAGACTCTAACGTGCATCAGGATTAAGAACCACTCATTGTCTGTCCCTTGAGGGCAGGGTCAGACCCATTTTCAGTGCACACAAAATGGGTATGAAATGGAATGTCCTTAGTTACTTTGATGAATGTTGTTGCTAATGAGAAGAGATGATTAAGGAACCATTAAGTTGAATTTCTCACTAAAAATATAGGTATAGCATACATTTGATACTCTTGTCAAGAGATTTGTAAAGTTATCACAATCTTTTTCCTTTTATTTACATGTTTTAATACTAGTTAGTTAACAAAAGCTATCACAATCTTAATGACAAATATTGTGCTTGGAAAGAGAACAAAAGGTCTTTGGCAGAATTAGTTTATCAAATATCACTGGATATGACATTTGGATACTGGATGTTGGACATGAGAAAATACCAACGGCTTGCAGGGTTGAGCAGTTACAGTCAGGTGTTAGAAGGCAACAGATATTTTGCTTTAGAGTGGAATGACATCAGTGATATGCAGAGACTGAGTCAGGGTTGTAATTTGTATGGGGAAGAATTTGGCAACTTTTCTGTTTTTCACTGAGGCTCATGACACAGGAGAAGAGGGTTTATCATCGTCTTCATTATCATCATCATCATCATTGTTGCTGTTATTGATTATTTTGTAGTCATGGCATAAGCTGAGAAAAGTGCATTACGGTTAGACATGATGGACCATCAATTGTGTGCAACAAGAGGGCGCTTCTTCACAAATCGTACTTTGTACTTCAATGCCATTCCACAGGAAATAATTGGCAAATCACTGTATTTCATGGTCTCTCCTGAGTGGGAGGGAAATAGTGAAAATCATGATTATAATCAAATCACAGCTCTGAGGTAACTGTGCGATATGATGAATGATCAGCATAGGCACAAGATTCTGCTACACTATATTGAGGTGTAATGGCTGTTGAAAGAGAAGTGCTCTTGTCAGCTTTTAAAATAAAGAGGTTACCTAAAAACACTGTCTCGTAGACCTGATTGTATCAGTGAGCACCATCCCTTAATTTGCAGTGACTTGCTCAGGTGATGATATCATAACAATATGCTGAGTATTTTGAATAGCTGGAATTTTTCATCTTCACAAAAATATAATTGGTTTAAATTATTAAAAAGGTTTCAGGTTTCTTAAGAAGATTAAACTCTGGTGGGGTTTGCTTTAACTGCTCAAAGTTGTTCTTTTCCCACAGGTACATTTCCATTCCTGGTTCCATTGAGTTATAGTATGTGGTGTGGGGAGAGCAAACTGGGTAACCCAGTGAAAGAATGCTTACACACTATGCCTGGTGTGCTAAATAGAAATTAGCCAAAACCGTTTCTATTGTAACCACTCTAGTTACCCTGTTTGTCTTGACCCATGGGGGACTTGTAAGACAGGACACAAGAACTATGGTACTACTTCAGAAACAAATTGGCCACGTATGTGGAGGAACAGCCCCAGGAGGAACAGAGCCCCTATCGCATACGTGTTAACTACCACAAAGAAGACATTTAATAGATATTTAGTTAAAGGGGACGATTGGGGCCTATTTTTAAAAGTTTGTAGTAATCAAGTGCTTTTAACTGGAATTTAATGTGTGGTTATGGAAGGTCAGTATTGAAGTGTGCATGGTGGCAAAGATTAACAAAATGTTATTGATGGTCGCCTTACTTAATGTGTTGTCCTGGCAGAATGACTGAGTTCATTCTCTGGTTTGGGTCCTGGTTCTATCACCTGGTGCCCGTGTATGACCTTGGCCAAGTTACTTTTCTTTGTCTCTGTTTCTTCCTCTGTTTAACTGGAGTACGTATATTTTCCTCTGAAGGTTCTTGTGAGAATTCAGGGAGATCATGCCTGTTACTTAGCACAGGGCCTAGTCCACAGTAAGTGCTCGGTGATGTTAGCTGCTGCTTTTTAAAGTGATTGTCAGAAAGCTTGTGAGGGCTTCTGTACATTCTTATGACATGAGTCTACTAACCCTCTTTTTGGTTTGTTTGTTTTGTTCATTATGCTTCTAAATGTCTGAATTCCACTTTTTTTTTTTTTTAACCATTTTCAGTAAACCTTAACCTGGATGTTGACAAAGAGATTATATAGTTTAGATGCTTTTAATTCTCTGTTTTCCAGTAGAATTTTGATCATTCTTATAGTGTTTCTTAGTTTCTTCTTTTTCTTGCTAGACTGTCTTCATTCTGCATTAATATATTACCCAATCATAGTATCTGGAACCATTTAGAGAAGGTTGAAATCTTTGCTTCATCTCTTACCAACTATATAACTGCAATTTACTAGGCCTTACTTTAAATATCCCATAGGATTATTGAAGAATTAATGCAGTGTATGTAAAATGCCTAGTGTGACACATGCGTGCAAACATACACATGTAGTTTTTCTTTTCCGTTCTTCTTATGTAGTCAAAATAATTTAATAAATGGGCTCACTAATATTATGGAAAGGGTTCAAAGACTGTATTAGAAGGCCTGCCACCAGCTCTTGGGAAAATGCTTGAAGCTCTTCAGATCTACCCATAGAGTTATTTTAATAATCAGTGATAGTTTATGTAAAAGTGCTTTGCATACTACAGACAAGTGAACTGTTATAAGAATGTTCCCTTTATTCTTTGCTACTGGACATTTAGAGAGCATTAGTTCACCATATAGCCCTTGGGGCAGTTGTTTTTTTGGCACAACTTCCTGTAGCTCAGAGTTGAAAACCATTTACCTTTCACTACTATTCTTGGTCATATTACTCCATCCACAAGTTAAAAAACTACTGCTCTTTTGAGGCAGGGCTGTTGGGCTTGACTCCCCTTTTATTACTTACCATTCACTCAATTACCTTTCATTCATCTAAAATTTCGTATCTGTTTCACAGTGTTTTCTGACTCAGAGTCTTGTCACACTCATGAGTGACTTTTTTCTCCTTGTCAGTGGTCCCATACAATATACTTATCTTGACACCTTCTATCTAGTAAATTTTACTTCCACATTCATGATAGTTATTCTTAGGACCCATCTTGGATCCAGCACAGCTCCAGCTCTGAATTCTTAAGTTTAAACACCTCATAATCTGATGATAATTTCTTTTTCTGTTACTTAGCTTTACTTTACTTGGCCTTTGACTTTATCAGTACTTCATTCCCCACTGCCCTTTACATTTTTACTCTCTTCTACCTTTTTTTACTTTATTTTCTCCCCAAGTTAGAGATTGTTATTTATTCTCTTCATCTATATTCTCACCAGTAACCTCAGTTTTCTTTCCCTCTTGATCTCAATGCTAGGGCATGGCACTTCCAGCATGGATCAATCTATCCATGTTTTCCATGTCTAACTTAGGCTTCTGGAAAAAAGTAAATCACTGTATGTGTGCAGATTGTTACCTGACTTCCAGATTCAACCAGGGCTTCTACAGTGGGCAGTCATTGTTCTGCTTTTTGGTTTTGAACTATTTGGTTTAACACCTCTTGAGAATTTGATGAAAGATGGGGTCTCTCTTCAGAACAGTAGATATAAGAATATACACATAAAGGTTGGCTTACAAATTTAGAAGGTTCACAGATCTCCTGAAGCTCACTCATAGACTTCCTAGAAGCCTTTGAATCTTAGTTAAAAACTCCTGGTCTACATATTTATTTGTTCCATTCACCACCGTCTCTTTTCTGTAATCTTCAGATCCTCTGCTTTACCCATTTCCTTCTTCTATTCCATCACAGCAAAAATAAAAACCATTAGGTGGGAAATTCTTCAGCCCACCAGCTCTACAAACCTATCTGCAACCATACTACTTCTTTTGCTCCTTCTTTATGTTACTTTGAAAGAGGGACCTGTTCTCATCCATGTTATGAAGCCTACCTACCTTTTCCTTAAGGATCTCGCCCTGTTTCTTTTCTCCTCTCTAAACTGTATCTTTAGCCTTTTTATCTCCACTCATGCTTTTAAACTTATATAAATCTCTATCATCTTAAAAGGAACAAAGCCTGATTGAGCTTCATTTTCCCTTTAGCTGTTGGTTCTCCTTTATTTTTCTTTTTTGTGTAGAGATTCTTGAAGGGGTTTTGCATAGTCTCTGACCCCACTGTTAACTCTTCATCTGCTAGTTTTGTGCCTGTTCTCCACCAAAGAGACCTTTTTCTTACTAAATCGAGTGGTCATTTGTATGTGTATCTAGAGTGTTTAGCATGTACATTATTTCCCCCTTCTTGAAACCTTCTCTTCTGGTAACTATCTTCATAACACATTTTTCCAGAGTTCATTCTTCCTCTTTGTTATGTCTGGGATTGCTGTGAGCTCTTCCTCTGTCCATACCTGAAGTGTTAGAAGAAACTCATAATAAAAATTAAGATCTCTTCTTTGCTCTAATTGTCTTCCTAGATCTCATTCATTTTCATGTCTTAAGTGAATGTTACCACCATCTACTTTGTTGCTTAAGCAAAATACCTTCCTGCCCCATATCAGTCACCTGCCAAATCTAGGCAGTTCTGTTCCTTACAGCTATCAAATTCATTCATTTCTTTGAATTCATACTGTTTTTTGTTCAGGTCTTCATCATAACTCCCCAGATTATTGCAAGATTTTCATAACTAGGTTTCCAGGTACTATTCATTGCAGCCTGAATAACCATTAGAAAATATATTTTATGTAATTTTTTAAAAATTTAAATAATGGGGCGCCTGGATGGCTCAGTTGATTTGACTCTTGATTTCACCTCAGGTCATGATCTCAAGGTCATGAGATCAAGCCCTGCGTCAGGCTCCGCACTGAGCATGGAGCCTGCTTAGGATTCTGTCTCCTTCTCCCTTTGCCCTTCCTGCCTGCTCGTGCTCTCTCTCTTTCTCTCTAAATAAAAAAATTAAATTTTAAAAAATTTAAAGTATCAGAATTATCTCTAAAACAGAGCTCTCCTATTATGTGTCTACTATTTCTACAGTGATTATTCTAATTACAGATAATGATTATTAAAAGTGGTTAATAAATGCTTAATAAAGTCATACAAGGGTGGATACAATGGATATAAGGATGTCCTTTATTGTAATAGTTACCATTTACTCAGTGTTAAATGTGTGCTAGACATTGATCCAAGCACTTGACATATATGAACTTCTCTATTGTTCATAGGAACCCTACGGGGTAGGGTTTAATATTATCCTCTATGTTATAGAAGAGAAAACTAAAATACAAGAAGGATGAGTACCTTGCTCACAGTCTTGGTCACTGCTGTTGTGTGGTGGAGCCAGGGTTTACACCCAGGCAGTCTAGCTCTAGAGTTGGAGCATCCAGTCACTGCTCTAGTGCCTCTCGCCGTACTGTATTCTGATTTCATTAACCACTATGTTAAAATCTAAAATCATGGCTCAGATAAAAAGCTAGAAAAAATTATATAAAATTGATTGTTTTGTATAGCTCCTGGATTGAATTCCTGTTAAAGCAGCGTATGATTTTTATTTCATCTAATAAATATTTATAGAGATCTCTAACATGCCATTGCTATAAAAGGTAAATTTTTTCCTTTTAGAACAAAGGTAGCACCAGTCTTTCAGAAAAAATAAAAATTATGTGTCCGTAAGTAGGGTAGTAAATTCAGGAAATCTTTAATAATCTCTTTAAAGTCAGTGATAATGTCTTTTTCATCTTTGTATATCTGGCACCTAGGATGAAGACAGGCATATAGTATCTCAATAAATATTTACTAAATATACCAGTAGTGCCTTTTATCTCTTCTATTCCTTATTGCAATGTTTATTTATTGCTTTTTATTTCGGTTGAGTCTTGTAAGAAATTGACTTAATTTTTTTTTTTTTTAACCTAGGGGATGTCCCACTCTTGTTCAAGCTTTGCCAGGCCCTAGCACACAAGTTACTGCAGGCAGCAACCACACGGCAGTACTTTTAATGGATGGACAGGTCTTCACATTTGGAAGTTTTTCTGTAAGGAATTTTTTAAGCATTAATAGTATTGCATTGTACCATTGCCAATTTGTCTGTGTCAGCTATTTTTTCTGGTTTCAGTGAAATTCTTGTGTTATAATTATTGCATATGCATATTTCCTATCTCCACATCCAGCACACACAAGACTTGAATGACATTACTGTGAAATAATTGTCTTCTCTAGTGTAGTATTAGGATTTATTATATTTAACGGCAGTGTTAGAATTTGACATGCTTATTCCAGGTCAAAATCCTTTAAGCATTCAGTAGAGTTATTCTGTCATTTAAAAGCATATTTCCCAAGTAGCTTGCAAAGATTCATTTTTAACATATAGAACTGTTTCTAATTTAGAACTTCTTAAAAGCCTGGTTTTCTTGTAGATTTGTTTAAAATTATAGTTTCCTTTTTCCTCTCCCTTGCTCCCTGTCTCTGTCTGCTTGCCTGTTTTGTTCTCTTTCTGCCAAAGCTTGAAAAGACTGAAAATGCTCTGAGAATTTTGTATAGTTTGGGCATAGTAGAGATCAAGGAAAAGCCTTGTAAGACTGTGCTAATAAGCCTATACCGTCTCTGATGTGGGTAACTACTCAGAACTGCATAACCTAAGTCTCTGGGATGTAATTTGCAACTATTGATTTTTTTTTAAATGTAAATGTGAACTTTCAGAAAAAATCTTTTACTTGGAAATGCTTTTAAACTACAGAAAGATCGCAAAAAGTAAGAATAGTACATAAAACACCGATATACTTTTTTTTAATTCTTTTTATTTTATTTTTTTATTATTATGTTAATCACCATACATTACATCATTAGTTTTTGATGTAGTATTCCATGATTCATTGTTTGCGTATAACACCCAGTGCTCCATTCAATACGTGCCCTCCTTAATACCCATCACCAGGCCAACCCATCCCCCCACCCCCTCCCCTCTAGAACCCTCAGTTTGTTTCTCAGAGTCCATTGTCTCTTATGGTTCGTCTCCCCCTCTGATTCCCCCGCTTCATTCTTCCCCTCCTGCTATCTTCTTCTTTTTTTTAACATATAATGTATTACTTGTTTCAGAGGTGCAGGTCTGTGATTCAACAGTCCTACACAATTCACAGTGCTCACCATAGCACATACCCTCCTCAATGTCTATCACCCAGCCACCCCATCCCTCCCACCCCCCACCTATATACTCTTGAACCAGCTTCACCTATTGGTATCATTTTGATTTGCTTTATCACTTGCACATGCATGCTCTTGTTCTCTCTTAAGCACTGTGTGTTTGTGTGTGTGTGTAAAACATATTTTTTTTCCTGAATCCTTTAAGAATAACTGCATATATTATGATCCTTTATTCCTGAATACTTCAGTTTGTGTTTTTTTTGATTGATCCAATAATTATTTTTTGGCATTTTTTGTCTCCTCCAATCTAAGATCAGGTATTGCATCTGATTGTCATGTCTCTTTAGTCTCCTTTAATCTGTACCATTTCCACACCTTTTCTTTGTCTATTATGACATTGACATTTTTGAAGAGTATGGTACTTTGTTTTTTTTTAAATAAAATGGTCCTCATTTTTGTTTCTGTGATATTTCCTCATGTTTAGATTCAGGTTGGGTATTCCAGGCCAAAATACTATGTAAGTGATGTTGTGTTCTCCTCAGGCATCACATCTGAAGGCACAAAATGCCCACCTGGAAAATGTCTGATTTTTCTAATGCATAATTAGTATTTTTTCTCTTGAAACTAATAAGCAGTTTATGGATTGACTTTTTTAATAAGACAGTTTTAAGGTACCTGCTTCTCATATAATTTCCCCCTAGATTTAGGTTCCCATTCTTGCCTAAACCCTTTACTATTAATGACTGCAAAATGAAGATTTTCTAACTCCAGCACCCGCTCACATTTAACAGTTGGCCCTTTGCATTTTATTGTAAGCAGGAGCCCTTCTTTCTCATTTGGTGTGTTTGGTACAGATCCATGTATTTTTATTTTCCTCATTACTGTCCATAATTATTTGGTTGTGTAGATTGTCTCAGATTTCATGGATCAGAATCCCTTTGAGCTGGCTCCTGTGTTCTTATGACATGCCCCTTCATTTTGGGGGCACTTCCTTACTTCCTGGCATAACAAGTTGTTTCAGGCTTCTCTGTGTCAGTCCTAGAATCAGCCGTTTCTCCAAGAACATGGGTTCTTTTTACTGGGGAATAGTTTTAGACACCAATTGAGCACTGAGTGTATTCATTGCAGTGGGGTGTCTTTATATCCTCAGTACACATATGTATGCATACCTGTAGGTATTTTAGAAATCATAAGCCCACACCAGTACCTCTACTTCCAGTCTATCCCCACAGGGGTCTTTCTTATCTTGACCCATTCCATGTTTGTTTCCTTTCTTCCACAATAAGAATTCCGGCTTCTAACAATATGAGTACTTATTTTTCATTCACTCAGTCCTGAAATATGGGTAAAATAGTTTTATATTTGCTTTTCCCACACCACTATAAAAACAAACTCACTACAAGGAGTTCAGGATTTGTCTGTCACTCTCGCTCTTGCCCCCTTTCACCTGTGTCCTTCCCCACAGCTGACGGCATATAGTCAGATACTGTGTTCATAAGTTATTTGGGTGCTCTCCCCCACCCCATTTCAGTGGAATTATGTTATTCCTTTGGAATAGAGTTGGATTCATCCGTTTCAGTTTGCCTTTTTTTTTTAATTTTAAAAAAAAACTTTAGTTAATAGTCATAAGAATAGGTACAAATAACAGATTCTTCGTGAAGAACAGCTACAGCCAGTGACCACCCTTCTTCCCCTTGTCCCTGAAAACAAGCACTTTTACAGGTCTGTTTGTCTCACCCTGTCTTGGGTCAGGGGGTCATCTCTGTAAAGTGAGTAAGATCTAATGTCAGGGGTTGGGGGAGAGAGATGCCCTTTCGGCACGGAGATAACTTTGGCCTGGAACAATGAATGAGGCTCCCTACTGTTGCCAAAGGGAGGGCAGATTCAAGGACTGTTACACAGTGGTGTTCCTCTTCTCCCTGTGGTAACAGACTTCCTAGCCATTCCGGGGAAGACACTGGTTAAAATGCTGACGCCTGGCATGTCCTGTCTTCTTTGAGCTCTCAGACTTCTAAGGAAAGGGGCTTCTGGTCCAGTGCACTGTTTCAGTTTGCTTTTAGTTTTAGGATCCCTCCTTCATGTCCTTAGATATAATTATATTTCTTTGAATATGTAGAACATTAATATGTTTCCAAAAGTTAAAAGTTACACAAAAATAGCGTACTCAGTCAAGTGTCATCTCCTCCCATATCCCCTTTACTCCATGCTTGTAAGTAATGAACTTCGTTGTTTTCCAGTTTATACTTCCTGTGTGTATTGTATAGATACAGGTATGTGTGTATATATGTACACACATACAATTATTTCCCTTTATTTTTCAAAAGGTAGCATTTTATATATGCTCTTCTGCACTTTGCCCTTATCACTTTACTGTATCTCCTAGAAATCATTCTGTGATAGTTTGTAGAGATCTTCCTTTTTCTTTTTTTTATATCTGCATAGTACCCTTGTGCATATATACTATAGGTTATTCAGTTTCTTATGCGTGGACATACTTTCCAATATTTTGCAAGTACTTTCCAGTATTTTGCAATGAAAGCAATAAATACTGTTAGAGGTGTACCTCTGAGGTAAATTTCTAGAAGTAAGATGTCTGGGTTGAAGGTTAGTGCCTATGCAGTTTTGTGGGATATTAACAATTCCCTTTATTTTTGCATTCTCACCAGCAATGGTTGAAAATGCCTGTTTCTCCACAGCCTTGTCCACAGAATATGCTGTCATACCTTTTAATTTGCGTCAGTCTCATGGGTGAGAAATGGTCCTGCACACTTTGAAGCCTTTTTCCTGTAGCTGGTGCTGTGAACCTTCATTTCATATTTTGACATTAAGGGTTAGATTTTCTCTTTGGGAGATGATTTTACCAGTGCTTCTTTTAAGTCCTCCATACTCCACTGTTCTCCTTCATAAGCCACCCTTTTGCACTCTTCACTTCCTCTAGCTTGCAGTGGCAGGTCCAGGGTGAAGACTGTTGGAATTTGGTTTCTTCCTCTGGTTACAGGTGACTTAAAGGTCATCGGATCTGCTGTTTCCTAAACTGCTGAAGGCTTGAGTCATGCGTGGTTTTCTTTGCCCTGTGTGTTGGTTTTGTGTTGTTTTGGGGAAGAATGTGAATGGCAATATTTGAAATCAGACAGCCATTTTTGTCCTCTACCCACAGAAGTCCTAATTGTGAACTTTTATGAATTTAACTATGGCTTATGTATAACCACATTCTGAATCCCGTGGTGCTGTCCAGTCATCTGTTGTATTTTTGTACTGCTTTTCTGTACATTAGTTGGTTGATAGTAAGGGAATAGATATTTATTTCAGTAGTCAGTGACAAATAGAATTATTTTTCTTCTAAAAGCATAATATATCCTTGAATATGACATACTTTGCTCACTGTTCACATTTTTTATGCTTTTTTTTTTTTTGTCAAAAAATAAGGATAGACATTGAAAGAAGCTGAGAATTAACATATTAACATCGAAATTTTGGGCTTCTTCTCTGTTTGTGTGGTTTCCACATTTTTCCTCCCCTGGTTCAGCCCAGTGCTTAAAGCTCTGTTGCTTTTGCAGTCACTTTGTGGCTATATTTTCTTGCTGTGGTATTGAAGGAGGGATAGAATACCCTAGAAACCCGATAGTTGGGTGAGAATTAACCAGGCTATTTGCAGTGCTCCAGTGTTCTTCAGGTTTTTTGCTAATGATTTCTCATTCCTAGGACTTGCAGATGACCCTGGATGCCATGAGACAGCATTTTCCACCCTCCAGAGGGCTTTTGGAAGGGGAGTGCTTTGGGGGGAGGGCAAACTCCTGAACCAGGGGTGGATGTATGTTTACCCATCCACCATCAGCCTTCTTTTATAGCTACTACTAGCTTAGTAATGAGAGACTTTCTGTTGTTTTTTAAATTAAACTCTTACCTAACCTACTACCTATAGACAGCCATAGTTTTTAAGTGAGTTAACAATTATTTACTTAAGATATCATACCTTACCATTGGTTATGCTGTTTATCTTGAAACATAAGTAATTTAGTAACACATGGTCATGTGTAAAAAATGTAATTTTCTAATTGTATTCACAGTTGTAGTATTCATTATTTTGGCCTTTACCCAAATATTTTCAGACTGTGTGATTTTAGTCGTGACTTTCTATCATCTTAAGTACTATCAACTTAAAATATCAAAGTGATTTTTTTAAAATAACAATTTGTAATACTAATTTTTTAACATGTTGTGTATTATACTTTTAAATGTAGGTGAAGACAGTATTTCAGGGTGATTTCTTGGATGGAAAAAATTTTCAGCGCTATTGTTATTTTTAATAATATACTTGGTGGTTTATTAGGAAGAGCATTCCTAAGAATAATAGAAATTATTTTATTCCTTTACAAATTTTGGTCTAAATGTCACATGAATTCATTAATTAAAAAAAAGTACTAACAGTTGATAAAGAATAATTTCTCATAGAGCTGTTTTTGTCTCCTGTCTTCTTAACTTTATAAAAAATTATTGATTGTTTATCTAGTAATGTTGTTAATATGGTTTATTTAATCTTTTAGAAAGGACAACTGGGTAGACCAATTTTGGATGTGCCATATTGGAATGCAAAACCAGCTCCCATGCCTAACATTGGATCAAAGTATGGAAGAAAGGCTACCTGGATAGGTGCAAGTGGGGACCAGACCTTCTTACGCATTGATGAAGCACTTATTAATTCTCACGTGCTGGCAACATCAGAAATTTTTGCCAGTAAACACATAATAGGTAATACCCCCAAACAGACGTTCTTCCCAAAATCTTTGTTGTGATTGACAGTAAATGGTTCATCTTTACCTATCATGAGATAGATAATCTTAGAGCTTTTTGTTTTCTTTCTCTTTGAAGAAATTTTAAAGAAGCTTCTAAATGTCTGTGTTTATATGAGTATTTATAAGCTAGAGAGTGGTGGAAACATGAGCCAAATTGTAGTAGGATAAAACCGGTATTGGAAGGAGGAATTTTTCTGTATTGGTTCTTGTTAAATAAGTGGTAGAAATTAATTTTTATGAAAGGTAACTTAAGTCAAACTTTGAAGTTCCATCTATAGGTATCAATCTATACTTGTGTCTGTGATATCATAAATAATTATATACTGGAGTGATAGAGTATAGAAATTAAGAGCTTGTGTTGTGGATTTAGACAGCCTGAGGTTTTGGTACTAATTCAATTACTTAAAAGTTTTTAATTAATCTATTGAAGTGTCAGTTTCTTCATCTGTAAAATGGATGTAATAATAATACTTCCCTTATAAATAATACTTATCTTCTAAGCTGAGGCATTATAAAAAGGTAATGCATTTTTAAGATGGATAAATATCTTTCCCCAAGGCTTGGTACCTGCTTCTATATCAGAACCTCCTCCATTTAAGTGTCTTCTGATAAATAAAGTGGATGGGAGTTGTAAAACTTTTAATGACTCTGAACAAGAGGACCTGCAAGGATTTGGTGTGTGTCTTGATCCTGTGTATGATGTCATTTGGAGGTAAGCTCTGTTTATAAAATGGAGTAGTAAATAAGTTCTGATCAAATTATACTCTTGTGTTGATATAAAATTCATGTATAAGGCAGAGCTTTTATACATGAGAACTCTCGTTTTTAACTGTGCTTCCCAGGACCTTTACAGTAAAAGCACGTGTTCTGAGCCAGGCCGCCTCGGATTATCCCAGATCCACAGTATGCTTTCTGTGTCACCTTGGAATGTTTACTTTAACTCTATGTGCTTTACTTCTCTCATTTAAATATTTGGGGTAATAATAGTACCTACCTCATAAATTGTTATGAAGAATGAAGAATTTAGAGCAGAGGTACATGGTAGGTGCTACTGGGGGCACCTGGGTGGCTCAGTCGTTAAGCGTCTGCTTTTGGCTCAGGTCATGATCCCAGGGTCCTGGGATCGAGCCCCGCATTGGACTCCCTGCTCGGCGGGAAGCCTGCTTCTCCCTCTCCCACTCCCCCTGCTTGTGTTCCCTCTCTCACTGTGTCTCTCTCTGTCAAATAAATAAATAAAATCTTAAAAAAAAAAAAAAAAAGAACTGTTTGCTGCTGTCATATTAAGCAGTTATACTTTCAAGAGGTGTTAATTATTTTTGATCTGTCAGCAATCCTGTCTAAATTGTATAGAACTCATTCTATTTTCTTGTTTCCATATATCGAATTATTACCAACTATGTAGAAGAAATTGTGCCAAAGACAATATAGAATAATTAAGATAAATGCCCTTTATGAATGTACGTATATTGGTAGAGAAATGTAGAAATGTATAATATTGCCAAACTGTAGAAACTATAAAAATGTAGAGAATGGATACAGGTACACTAGAGACTCAAATTATGTTGTATTTGCTTAAAATTGATTATGGTGCTTTGTATACATAATGAGTAAAGAAAATTGTTGTCCTCAGCATTTCTAGCTTTGAATACTAGTAGGAGGTGTCCCCTGCATCACCAGATTGACTCATCACAGGACTTACCTTTTTCTTTTTTTTTTCTTTTCCCCTCTTGCATTGTTTATTTGGCCAACCTCAGTGGACAGGAATTAGATAAATTGAAAGATTTAACTGGCACCAATGAGGAAAGGGAAAAGACTTTTTTGTCTTCTTCCTCTGCCCATGACTACTTTCATTTCTGTCAGCCAGCCAGGTCTTAAGAAGCCATGTTTTCTGTCAGTCCTAAGGCTGCATTCAGAGTGAAGGAATTACAGTGCTTCCCGGGTTGCTGACCAGCCTACTGTCTTACTTGGGCATTTTGTGAGAAGGCCTGGAAGCCAGAATTGATTGAGTTTTCAGTCAATTTCAATTTCCCTAGCAGCATTCCACAGGATAGATTAGATAACGAGAGACTAGAGGTGAGTAGTCTTACAGTAATTCTTATGAAGACATGAGGTACTAAGAACCAAAATTGGAGTGGTCACAGTGGGATAGCGTGGAGGAGATAGAAAGGCACAAAGACAGACTAGTCATTAGTTATTTACTGATTACAAGTCTGTATAGAAGAGACTTAGTTACCAAAGAGCAAGCTCTGGTTTGGACTTAGGTTTAAGTTGGTGTTTTATTTCCTATAATCTTTATATGTTTTATCTTCAAATGAAAGAAATTTACATTAACAAAATAAAAATCAACAGTGGAGACTTTGTTTATGGATACATTCACTAAATTAGAAATGCATTCTTTAAGTTAGTTACTAGCAGAACTGGGTTCTAACAGTATAACTAGAGCTATTTCCCTGGAGTCTTAACAGAACTCCAGAACTCAGAAGTGTAATGTGCAGTTAGTTGAGCCTTGCCTTTTTCACATATGGTGATAGTGATAGGAGAGATGGTCTCAAATGCCTTGCCAGGTCCTTGAGTACTTACTCCCTTGTTCCAAAACAGAGATTAAAATTCTCCTCAAATGTTTCACTAAACAGCTGGAAGGTGTTTTCTTGTAATCAGGATCAGAGTTTTATGCCATTATCCTGACTTCTGGCTGTTTTATGTCCTTTGTATTTTTCAGTAGGTACTTATATTTTACAGTCCTCGTAGATGCTGCAGGTTCAGTAGTAGCTCACTTTGACTTTCCTTCCGGGTGGAGTTGGCTTCCTTTTGTATTCTTAACAGCTAACTTTTCCTGAGTAATTAGAAACTTAGTATCTGTAAAAAGCAGATAAATGTTAAGAATAGCAATTTTATTTCCCACTTCAAAATTTATACATAAATATGTGTTGTTACTTTTTTAACAGCAAAGCAAAACTTGAATTGTGTGGTCCTTCTTCAGATGTTTTTCTTTCCCCATAAAAATCCTATTAACCTTCTCTATGGGTCACAGGTATTAAGTTTGGTTTATATTGTCTTGACACTTTTTTAAAATGCATGTGTTTTTTAAATACATATAAGAATATATTCATTTTAAAAGCGAGGGGATGGGGCGCCTGGGTGGCTCAGATGGTTAAGCATCTGCCTTCGGCTCAGGTCATGATCCCAGGGTCCTGGGATCGAGTCCCACATCAGGCTCCCTGCTCGGCAGGAAGCCTGCTTCTCGCTCTCCCACTCCCCCTGCTTGTGTTCCTGCTCTCACTATCTCTCTCTCTGTCAAATAAATAAATAAAATCTTTAAAAAAAAAAAAGCGAGGGGATTTTTTTGCTAAATGACAAAGCAAAAAGTAGATTTTCCCAAGTCAGTACAGTTAAGAACTGCTTTGTTATTAAAACTGTATAGAATTCTGTAGTCTGGATAAACTAAAATATACTTAACTATTTCCCTATTGATGAACATTTTAGATTACTTTTTAATGTTTCGGTATTACCTATATTGCCAGAGTGAACACACAAACACGTGTGTATATACACGCACAGTTTGTACTCATGGGAGTGTATTCCCACAAGATAACTTTCAAGAAGTGGAATTGCTGAGTCAAAAGATTGGCTCATAGAATGGTGATACATACTGCCAAATTGTCCTTCAGTACTCTCTCACCAACTGCTATGAGAATCCATATTTTCCCATACTGTCAGCATCAGTATACAGTACTACTATTATTTTTAATTTTTGCTATTTTAATTTTAGTCAGTAAATATTAAATAGATACTATATGATAAGCAAAAATTGATACAAGTAAATAAGATACATATAAGATTCCCTTGCTCTTAGGGAAGTTGTCTTTTTTATTAAACAGAGATATAGACCATATGAAAGTGAATAAATAATACTCTTTATAGATCTTACTCAGCATCATTAAGGAAAAAGGGATTGCTGTGATTAACAGCAGTGACCTATCTTCTATTCAATGGAGACTGTATAAGTTAAGACCTTAAAGTATAAGAAAGAAAGAACCAAGTATTTGAAGAGTTAGGGAAAGTTTTCTGAGCCGGGAGAGCTTAGTAGACTCAAATACTTTGATTCAAGAGCCTGGTTGTGTTTTCAGAATTTGAAGAAAGCCAGTGTGGTTAAAGCATAGTGAGTGAGGGCATGAAATAAATTCAAAGGGGGTAGGCAAGGCCAGGACATGCAGGACTTTGTAGGCTAGATTAAGGAAATAGAATTTTCTTCAAGGGGCGTCTGGGTGGCTCAGTCGTTAAGCGTCTGCCTTCGGCTCAGGTCATGATCCCAGGGTTAGTGAAATTCAGCTAAAGACAAGCAAAACAAGATCGGTTTCATCTCAGAATTAGCAGAAACAATATAAATTATGTATGTATGAAATGTTTAAAAAATAAAAGATGAAATTGAGGAAGCAAAAGAAACTCATAATGAGACTCAAAATGATGAGCCATATTTGAAAAATAACCAAGCAAAACTTTTATAAATGAAGAACAGTTATTTACACAAATGCATGAGTAGACCAGATTTGAAGAGTTGAGAGGAAATTACACAAAAGGACACAGAGACAAGAATATAAAAAATATGAAAGAGATTTGAAGAATATAATGAAAAGATCTAATAGACATCCAAGAAGGAAATTTTAGAGATTAAAGAAAATAGAGGAGAAATAATACTTGAGATAATGCCTAAGAATTTTCCAGAACCAAAAATAAAAAGATTTAAATTCACAAATATTAGAAATTATGTGTTTCCATTATTTGCAATCAGGAGAATTATAGTGAAATTACAGAACACTAAAGCCCAAGAGAAAAATCTTAAAAGCAACCAGAGAGAAATAAATAATATCAAACAAAAAAACCCAATTAGATTAAATTAAAAAGCAATAGTACAGTTATATTAATGCTACTAACTATAGCAGGTACTTTAATAGAATTTATTCTGTGCCAAGTATTATTTTTGTTTAAAATTAAAAAAAATTTAAATAACTTTTTAATTTTAATTGTGCTAAAAAACATAAAATGTAACCATTTCTAAGTGTACAATTCAGCAGTGTTAAGTATACTCACATTGTTGTATGGTAGACTTCCAGAAGTATTTTCATCTTGCAAAACTGAAACTCTGTACCAAAGAACAACTCCCCATTTCTCCCTCCCTCCAGCCCGTCGCAGCCACCATTCTACTGTCTGTGAATTTGACTACTTTTGATATATAAGTACAATCATACAGTACTAGTCTTTTTTGTGACTAGCTTATTTCACTTAGCATCATGTCCTCAAGATTCATTCACATTGCAGCCTATGACAGAATTCTTTGCTTTTTAAGGCTGAATAACATTCAGTGTTTCTACCGTACTTTATTTATCCACTCATCCATCCATGGATGCTTAAGTTGCTTCCACCTCTTGGCTATTGTGGATAATGCTGCTATGATTGTGAGTGTGCAAATATCACTTCAAGATTCTCCTTTCAGGGGCACCTGGGTGGCTCAGTCTTTAAGCGTCTGCCTTCAGCTCAGGTCATGATCCCAGGGTCCTGGGATCGAGCCCCACATTGGGCTCCCTGCTCCGCGGGAAGCCTGCTTCTCCCTCTCCCTCTCCCACTCGCCCTGCTTGTGTTCCCTCTCTCGCTGTCTCTGTCAAAATAAATAAATAAAATCTTAAAAAAAAAAAAAAAGATTCTCCTTTCAGTTCTTTTGGATATATACCAAAGATTTGAATTTAAATCTTTTTTTTTTTTTAAGATTTTATTTATTTATTTGACAGAGCGAGAGATAGCGAGAGCAGGAATACAAGCAGGGGGAGTGGGAGAGCGAGAAGCAGGCTTCCTGCCGAGCAGGGAGCCTGATGCGGGACTCGATCCCAGGACCCTGGGATCATGACCTGAGCCGAAGGCAGACGCTTAACGACTGAGCCACCCAGGCGCCCCCAAAGATTTGGATTTAATTGCTCTTATATTTAGTAAATTTGGATCATCAAGCACCATTGATGGAGAAGACCATTCTTAATAAATGAATCTGAATGCTAGCTGTATCTGACACAAATCAGATTTTCAAAATAATCATTGTTTTCTGTGTAGGCATACCAGTTAATGAAAAAATGAGGATTTTGTTCTTCCTTCCTATCTAATCTCGTACTTATGCTTTAGGAGCTATGTATAAAATTATCCATAGCAGCATTTTTTTTGTAGTGGAAAATAGAGTGGTTTTGATTTTTTTGCTATCAGTAATAGAATGGACAAATAGTTGTAATGTAGTCACATGAGCTATTAATATTTTACAACAACAAGAATAAATGAACTTACAGTCATATACCACTGTAAAAATACATTGTTAAGAATATTCTGTTGTTTGAAGAAAGCTAACCACAGAAGAACACATGGTGTATCCTGTTCATGTACAATTCAAAATGTGAAATTTAAGTAATATACAATTTTGATATAAACATATGAAAAATCATAAAAGCAAGAGAATGATAAACTTTTAAAATTCCAGGTAATTGCTACTTTTGAAGGAAAGGGGAAGAAATTAGGTAGGGAAGGAGAGTGGGTAGGGAAGGAGAGCCAGGGTACTTAAAAGATAATGGTAATATTCTTTTTACTAGTGCACATTATACCATTATTCTTCATACCTCATATTGAAAATATTTTGTTACTCTTCTTTTGTATGTACTCTGTAGTTGATAAAAACAACTTTTCCAAAAAGAATTTATAGCAAAAAAAAAAAAAAGTGGTAAAGAAGTAGAGGCAGCTTTTTGAGAATTATTTATGGAAGAGATAAGAGAAATGAGGTAATGGTTGGAGGGTATTGTGGGTCCCTTAGGGGTTACTGTTTATGAGTGTTTGAGTATCTACGTACCCTTTACTTGTGCTTCCTTTCTGAAAACCGCATTCCAGGTCTTTTGCCCATTTTTGATACTGGGTTGATTGTCTCTTACTGGTTGCAGGAGCTCATATATATTGTAGATACTGTTGTTTTGTCTCATATGTATGTGTCACCTATTTTCTTTCAACTTGCCCTTTGTCTTTAAATGTTATTTATGGAGTTTTTGTTGTGCAGAAGCTTCATATATGGATGCATCATGTTTTCCATTGCTCTGTTACTCGTAACGTTTCGTGATCTGTAGAACTGTTTCATTCAAATTATTTCACTTCTAGTGACCAATAATTTTATTTATATATTTAACTCCGAGAAAATAATGAACTACATTTTGTCCTCTTTAAGCTGACTATATTCTCTTTGTATCAGTTGTACTTTAGAAATTTAGAAACTGTATGTTGAAGTGCTGTGATTATTCTTTCTTGAAGGTTTCGACCAAATACTAGAGAACTGTGGTGTTACAATGCAGTGGTTGCTGATGCCAGACTTCCTTCTTCAGCAGACATGCAATCCAGATGTAGTATTCTCAGTCCTGAACTTGCCTTACCAGCAGGATCAAGGGCTCTCACCACCCGATCTCATGCAGCTTTGCACATTCTAGGTAGGCTTGCTCTTTTGATGATCAGCTAATTTTCATTAATATGTGCTGAGAACTTTTTTGAGAGAATATTTAGGTTTGTGTTTCATTTTCTCTTGTGTGTTAAACAACAACATGCTAGGTGCAATCTAAGTTAAACCCTCTAACTTTAAGAGGTTTGTCCATCCCCCAAACACCAATATATCAGACTTGAACCCACATAATTCATATATGCCCAAATATAAAGCATTCCTGAATATAATTCTAGCAGGCAGATTTTTCTTAATGTTTTTGTTCGGCTTAAATATATAAACTTTAGAGATGCAGTTAGAATATTCAGATGTATAATTATAATACTTAATTTGCATACTTTATTTTAAAATAACAAATTCTATAAAATATATTTATGTAATTATGAATTTTATACATATTACTTCTGTCTCTTATATAACACAGTTTTCCACAGTACATCAACTTCACTTCTATTTAATTTATAATACAGCATTTTTTCAGAATATATATATATATATTCTTTTCATAGAAATTTTACACCAGTCCACGTAACTACTTATTTTATTGCTTTTAAAAAGGATCCTTAAAAAGACTCATTCATGCTTATCTAAAATACGCAGTTGTGAAATCATGTTCCTAAGTATAATTACTAGATCATACATATAATTCCTTGCTTCTTTTTTCTCAAATTTTATCTGGTAATCATTGTAAACATCCAGAACTCGCATTGATTAAGGTTCTCTCAGGCTGCTGTGTCTTCCTCATAATAGAACTTTAAGAATCTAGAAGTAACTCAGGGTTTCATAAAAGGAAGAACCCTGTAAAGGCTCAAAGATTGAGGGATTCCAACTTTTCAAAGATAAAGTTTTTTGCAAAACATTGACATATAGAATGTGTTTAAATATGATAATTACCCAAACAGAGGGGAATTCTTATTGGTTGTCGGTGTTCTTTCGTGAAACATTGTTTAAAGCTTGGAATACATTTATTGGCACACTCAGAGTTTATTATTTTAATTTATCCCCTACAGCATCTCATACCATCAATATAGTGGGGAATTTTAATTTCAAGGAGTTGAATTTTTGTTTGTTTGTTTGTTTTTAGGTTGCCTTGATACCTTAGCAACTATGCAGGATTTAAAAATGGGTGTTGCAAGTACAGAGGAGGAGACTCAAGCAGTAATGAAGGTTTATTCCAAAGAAGATTATAGTGTAGTAAACAGGTTTGAAAGTATGTATATTTATGTCTAGGAAATATTGGCATGTAAGTGAAATATATATATAGATATTTTACAACATAAATTATTATTTGTATCTTTTAGGTCATGGAGGGGGCTGGGGTTACTCTGCTCATTCAGTAGAAGCTATACGTTTTAGTGCTGACACTGATATTTTACTTGGTGGCCTTGGTTTGTTTGGAGGTAGAGGAGAATATACTGCTAAAATTAAGGTAAGCAGTTTGTTGACACTGTTGCCCTTTTTTGTTTGAAGATGTTGGCTTTGACTTAGTTTATGATTTTATCTATATAATATATAATAAAAAAGGACTTGAGGAAACACTGCTAAAATGTAATGCAATAATACTAAATCTATTGACTCATTAGAAAATCAAAAGTCAGGATGGGAGGAAATGAATAGAAAGTGATTTCTTAATAATTTCAGGCTGAAAAAGACTAGTTCATCTCAATCCTTTGTGCTGAGCTTCCTAGTGGTCTAGGAACAGCAGGACATTTTGATATGCCTCCTTTCTGTTAGCCACTTTAATGACGGGGCACAGCTGTTTTGATGCAGGGACATTTTGATGTAGCTTTAAAAGTTTTTAGCGTTTTTGATGCCAAATACTGTGTAAACAGACATGATCACCCTAAGACGGGGACCAGGGATGAAGTGAGAGATGGAATATGGGGTATGGATTTCATCGGATAGACAAAATAAAAATAATCAAAAGTCCTGAGTTAATTATACCTGTTCATCTGAGAAAGGGTCTGCAGTTATTCCAAGCAAAGGATGTGCTCATTCTTTGAAAATTCACTAATAGCTTAAATGTTCCACTTCTCAAATTAATCTGATTTTACCTTTAAGTAAAAGAGAGGGGCGCCTCTGTGGCTCAGTTGGTTAAATGTCTCTCTGACTCTTGGTTTTGGCTCAGGTCATGATCTCAGGGTCCTGAGATCGAGCCCCAAATTGGGCTCCGCACTGGGGATGGAGCCCGTTTAAGATTCTCTCTCTCCCCCTCCTTCTGCCCCAACCTCCCCACCCCTGCTTACACGTGTAAGCTCATGCTCTCTCTCTCTCTCCAAAAAAAAACTAAAAATAAAAATAATTAAAAATAATTTTAAAATAAGGTAAGAGAGGAAACTATAGTTTGTGCCTTAATTTCAGTAGCAGGCTTCATTAAAAATTCTAATTAAATGCTGTCTGTTTAGGAGATCTTTTCTTACTTCTCTCAGTGGTTTCTAAAACTTATAGTAATATGTTAAAACTCCCTTACTGTGATGGTTTTTGAGGACACTTCCCATAGAGGCCCAACCAGAACCGACAAACTTTTAAAAAATATTTGCTTCTAGGTACATATATAGAAAGAGAGAGAGAGAGAAAGGAAGGAAGGGAAAGAAAGAAAAGGGAATATAAAACAGTTTTGGTTTTTGGCTTAGAGCAACTGCTTTCAAAGGGTTACTTGAAGATGTCTTGATTTGAAGTCAAGATAGAGAAGCAAACTCAATGATACAGTGCTAGTTGGCAATGTCTAGTAAGTTTATCGAGAAGATACATTTTTTTTTCTGTTCCTGAAAGGTTTTTTGTTTTGTTTTGATAATATTGAACACCATAGTGGCCCTTATCTCCCGTAGTTGTGGTATAGAAGTATATAGGCCTTCCACAATGCTGTTTTTAAATTAGGTGTCATTTTTTTTTTTCCAAGTCTCAAATCCTCTTTTACTCCTCCCATTCCTTGAAAGTGAACTTGCCTTTGAAATTCAGTTATTGGGGCACCTGGGTGGCTCAGTCGGTTAAGCGTCTGCCTTGGGCTCAAGTCATGATCTCAGGGTCCTGGGATCGAGCCCTGCATCGGGCTCCTTGCTCAGCGGGAAGCCTGCTCTCCCCCAGCTCATGCACTCTCTCTCACAAAAATAAATAAAATCTTTTAAAAAGAAGATTCAGTTATTAATGAGTAGACTAAGGTTTTCCAACAGAAGTCTTTTTTTTTGCCTCCATTCACCTCTTTCAGGTACACGTTTTTTTTTCTGGCAGTAAATCTCTTTTTTTGTTGTTTTGTTTTCATATCTCTGGTTGTTTCTTCTCTTTTGTAGGTTTGTCCTCTTCTACCAGGCCACTCAGTGTTGGAGTTCTTCTAGGCTCAGCCCTAGCCCCTATTTCTTCACTCTATATTTTCTCCTAAACATTCTCTTCTAAGCCTGAAGTTTAAATAGCTGTCAGCATACCATAATGCCCAAATTTAGATCTCCAGCTCAGACTTCTTCTTTGACCCATTTCCATGTAAGTGCTTTAAAGGCATGACAGTTGTTGGTCTTTATATTGCGACTGAATTCATGGTCTTTCCCCAAGATGTGGCTCTCTTCCAGTGGTTCTTCTCTTGAATAGTACCATCCACCATATGCTTGTTACCCTAAGGCAGAAACCTAGACCTCTTTCTTGATTGGGGCGGGGGGTGGGGGGTCCTCTTTTATCTCTTTCCTCCTGCTACGAGACTCTTCCACTACTAACTACCCTGGGCAAAGGTACTTGTATACTTGTTTTGGACTAGCCACCTAGTTGGACTCTGTACATATTCTTAACTTTCTATACTTTCTCTTTCCATTCTCTCTCTTCCCATTCCTTCTTGAACCTACTCTAACCTACTCCTACTCTAACCTACTCTAACCTACTCTTCTTGCCCCACCCACTCTACCAAAACTGCTCTTGTCAAGGATGTGAGTGATTTCTGATTGCTGAAGCCAGTGGTCAAGTCTCAGTCCTCATCTTCTTTAACCAGTCGACCTAATTTAATCCTATCAACCCCTTCTTTTATATACTGTCTTCACTTGGCTCCCATAATACCACACTTGGTTTTCCTTCTGTCTCACTGACTGCTCTTCTAAGTCTCAGGCTGGTTACTCGTCATCTTCTGGACCTCTACGTGTTAGAGTGACAGAACTCAGTCTTGGACACTTTTTAAATCTACTCATCCCCATAGTGATCCAGCCTTATGGCTTTAAGTATTTTTCTTCTTATTATTAAACCTCCAAAATCATATATACAGCTGCCTACTTCACTTCTCCACTTGGATAGCTAATAGGCATTTCGGATATAACATCTTCAACACTAGGCTTCTGGTCATCTCTCTATACCTGCTCTTCTCATATTTTCTCCATCCCAGCTAACTGACCTAGAATAGAGTTAACCTTATTCTTCCAGCTGCTTAGGTCAAAAATCTTGGAGTCATCATTGCCTTCCCTCTGTCACACCCCACATCCCCTTCAGCAGCAAACACTATTGGCTACCCTCTGAAAATAAATCCAGGATTTAACCACTTCTGAAAACTGTCCCTGGTACCCAGTCATTCTCAACCACAGCCATTCTCACCTGGATTATGACAGTAGCCTCCCAGCTTGTGTTCTGCTTCTGTCATTGTTCCCTTTGGTCTATTCTCAGTACAGCAGAGAGATTTTTTTAATATGTACACCAGACTCTGCCACTCCTCTCTTCAGATTCCTGCAGTGTCTTCGTACATTAGATTAAAAGCCACAGGCCTTAGAAGAGCCCACAAAACACCATAGAACTGAGTGCCATTATCATTCTGACCTTACGTTATACTAGCTGCCTCACTCTAATCCAGCCACACTGGCCTGCTGTTGTTCCTCAGACAAACCACGCATAGTCAAACCTTAGGACCTTTGCATTGGCTACTCCCTCTGACTACAGCTCTTTACTTCAATACCTGTGTGATCACTTCCTCATTATCTTCAGGTCTTGACTCTCTGGTGAACCTATTTAAAACTAAATCCTCGCCCTCACCCTCAAACTTATTTCCAGTAGCCCCCATTCTTTTGTTTGCATTGTTCATACCTGTATGCCAAGTGTCTAGAATTGTGCCTGGTACACAGTATTTGTTGAGAAGTATTTGTTGAACATAAGCAGGGGAGCCTGTATGTCATGCTACAAAGAAGGAAATGAAAAACCATTGAAGAATTTTAAATTAGAGAAGTATTCTAATCAGATACTCATTTTAAAAAGAGTACTAGGGGTCAGCTTTGTGGAGTACGGGCCAGAGCAAAGAGAGAATGGAGATAAGAAGACTGATGAGTTCTAGCTAGTAACAGTGAGCATGCTTGAACTGACAAGCTTTGGTACCAGCAGTAGAATAGATGTAGTGATGGCAGAAGGATACAGAAAAAAGGATTATTCCAGGTTTTTTATCTGAGTGAGTAGGTGACTGATAGTGCCATTAATCAGAACAGGGAAAGCAGGGGAGAGGGAAGTGAGTCCCTTTAGAGCTAGTGAGATCCAGCTGGTGGTGGGCGGTGGGTGGAGTGGGGTATGCAGTGACTGTTGAGAACAAGATCTGAGCTGGAGACAGGTTTTTAAATCATTAGCATATAATTGAAAAAATGAGACGTCTAGCATAGTAATTGTCCAGGAAGTTTTAATGCTCCCTTCTCTTTGTCCTTAGTGTTTTATCTGCCTTTTTTGTAGTTCACCTGTTATAATTCTCCAGAGAAATAAGAGTTTTTGTTATGTATTGGTCCATTTTTAAAGAAAAAAGATCTCTTCCTGATAATTCTCCTTCATTTTCATTTAATTTCATCACTTTTCCTCTTTGATATCTTCTGTCTTATCCTTATCCCACACTGTCTGGTCCTCCCCTTATTTTATAACCATTTTCTTTCATACTCTTCATCTCTTCTTTTCCCATGCAGTATTACCTTGAACTACTTTTTGTTACCTGTGTTTTTAAGGATCCTTATCTTCTGTTACTCCTCTGTCTCTCCATAGCTAACACTTCTGTAGCCTTTCTTTCTGGGTATTTTTCTAAGTGTTCCATAAGTATTACTTCACGTAATTCTCACAATTACTACGAAGTAGGCACTGTTAGCATCCATCTTCCTTTTATGGATGAGGAAACTGGATCCCAGATCTCACAGATTGTAAGTGTGAAGCAAACTTCTTCCTCATTTGAAAGCTCACTTAGATAAAATGCATTGGTTGAGTTCTCTTACCTCCTTCACATGTTTATATTTGGTACAGAACAGCTTGGAGCATTTGCTCTAAATAGATGAATATATAAATAAGGAAAACTGAGAATATAGACCATAAGTTTCTTAATTCAAATATGTAGGTTTGTGTATTTAACATTAAAAAAGCAGGCATTCTGATTTTTACATTCTGCAGTGTCCATCACATTATTGGAAACACCCAGAATCATAAACATATTATTCAGCAGGTTTGCATGACTGAGCGACTGGACATGATGTGTTTTTCTCCTTTCCCCAGCTGTTCGAATTGGGTCCTGATGGAGGAGATCATGAAACCGATGGAGACCTTCTTGCAGAGACTGACGTGTTGGCGTATGACTGTGCTGCCAGGTAAAGATGCCCCCCTTACTCAGTCTCAGCCTCACCTATGCTCACAGACGGGCTGTGAGCAGTTCATCGTAACTGAAGAAACGTACGATTGCTCTTTTAAATAATCTGTGATCAGATGCTTGAGGACTTAAGTTGTATATTACGTAAGGTACGGGTTGCACTTAACAGGGCTACACTAAAACTAATAGTATTTTCCATATTTGTATTTTATAAAACAAATTGTTTCTCCAGTGAAGATAACGTGAAAATATACATATATTTTGCACACTTTTGTTTTCATGCATCACTTAGAGAGCACCTACTGTGCTAGCTTTCTAATGATGTCCTACAGTTATCTACTACCTGTAGCATTGTATCTACAGTACCAAACAGTCAGAGGGCCATAATTCACATCACTTGTGTGCCCTGACACCATGCCCGTAGTATGTGCTTGGTTATAACACACAGGGACGTGGCCCGCTTTTTACTGAAACCTGTTAGGATAGTAGGTTTCCTGTTACCAGAATCTGGATGTTTATTTATAAAGCTTCATTAGAAGTATGAAGAGAATTAGCTTTTACCAGTCCTCTCTGTGTAATCCCAAGAATTATCTCCCAACACTGTGTTATGACAAGTTAGTGATTTGAATCAGGGGATATAATGATGAGAAAAAAAATAAATTGAACCTCATAATAGTAATAGTACACTGTACTTCCCAGTAATAACTATGTTAAAACCTTGTGTGTTATACATAAGCTTTTTGCTAGTGAAAATGTGTGTTTGCTAAAAATGGTAGTAAGGCATTAAGTTTGCTTTTAACAGATAAATACTTTTGAGAACAAAATTGTAAACCTAAAGAAAATTTTTACTATTTTTTCACTGTAAACATTCACCAGTATCAGGAGATATTTTTTAGTTGTTTTTTTTATGTGATATAGAAATGAAGATTAGGAAAATTTTAGGAAATTAGTTGATTAATTTTTAACAAAGCCTTAAGATGCCATTGTCACTTAGTGTTTATTTTTGAGCATATGATTATGAGTCAAAAAATATATCGTTTCACATATAGAGAATCATCTAGATTTTATTCATTTCCCTACTAACAAAGCCCAGGTTCCTAAGGCCAGCATTAAAGGACTTTAAAGTTATCTTTTACAACATCTTTTTTAACTTTCTACCTACTATTCTTTTTTATCTGTCTTAATGCTTTAACCTAACTGGACCCCTTGTCATTTTCAAGTCCTGTTTTGTACTTTTATACCTCTACAGTGCGTGAATTTGTTCCCTTCCTCAGATACCCTTAATTCTTTTCTCTACCCCAGCTATAACCACTATACTCTGTTACCTAAAACTTTATAACTTGTGTATATCTTTATCAGATCTCCTATTTATATACAAGCTTTCTCCTTCTATTTTAGTAAAATTTTTTGTGTAATTACTATGTGACAGGCACAGTTCCAAATACTTTATCTGAATTTCCTCAATCCTCAGAACAATCCTGTGATCTAGACATCATCTTCATCCCTATTTTCAGATGAATAAACTGAGTCGCAGAAAGGGTGTAATAACTTGCTCAAAGTTACACAACTAGCAAATCACGAAGCTGAGCCTTGAACTCAGGCCATCTGACTCCAGAACCATTTTATTAATATGCTTCCTCTCAAAACACTTTAAAACTAAAATTCAGAGTTTTATTTTCCAACTAAACTGGCATTTTTTTTTACCAATTAAAAAAATTTGTATTTTAATATGAGACCTTTATAATATTTAAGCAAGTTTTAGAATTCATGGTGAGGAGTTCATCACCATGACACAAATGACTATTATTTCTATGTTCCTGTCCAGATTTTTTGATTTTTAATTTTTTTCAGACTTTTTAAAATAGAAGGTTTTTAATGATATTCAATAAGAATCTTACACAATGAATTTCATGTTTTGTTATGAAGGATTTAAAACAAATAAATATATGTAACAGGGAAGTGCAAAGGCATTGTCTTTGACTCACTAATTTTTCTCTCAGAGAAAAATATGCAATGATGTTTGATGAACCAGTTCTCTTGCAAGCTGGTTGGTGGTATGTAGCATGGGCTCGAGTGTCCGGACCCAGCAGTGACTGTGGATCTCATGGACAAGCTTCTATTACCACAGATGATGGGTAAGCAAAATGTTTAAGTATTACTTAAGCAACTCTCATTTTTGTTAGTGGAATATTGTTTTAGCAGCTCAGAGGTCTTCCAGGAGGATAAAAATGTCAGTAAGACTAGAACATAATGTGACTGCCAAACATTAAATTTATGCAGTCTCATGCCAGATTAAGGTCTAGACAGAACAGGGAGAGAATAGGACTGCTACTCTTTGCTCTTGTCATTTGTCATTTGTATGTATTTCTGGGTGTTATATCATTTAAGAACTTATTTCCCATTAGAAATTATATGAAGTGACAAGAAGATTGAGGAATTTGGAAACCATAAAAAAGAAACAGTTGCTGTAAAATTTGACAGTGCTTATAAAAACGTTTATAAAAATTTCAGTTTTAGCAATATGAGATGGTATAGTTGTAATAAGATGTGGGGGAGATTTACCGTTTAAATTTCATATATGGAGTGCTTTTTAGTTTATAAAACACTTTCATATCTGTATTCTCATTTGATTCAACAATTTTGTGAAGCTGTTATTAGCTCTGTTTTCCACTTGGGAATAGAGAGACAGGAGGTGAAGTGATTTGCTGCACATCGTATCACTGTTGTGTAGCAGGACCCAATCTGGACCTGGAATTGCTTGACTCTAATCTTCTTTATTCTCAGTACTCTGGATTAGTGTGTTTGAAAGGACCATTATTTTAGAAGAGAAATTTAATTTACTCCTTACTCTTCTTGAGCATAAACTATTTGAAATGAGTAGAAGTTATGTAATAGTATATTTCAGATAGTTTTGTTCAATTCATAACAGAGCTTACCAAAAACAGAACAGACTAATTAATGAGGAGAATTCTTTGTTCCTGAATGTTCAAGTAGAATGCCATAGAAAAATTAAGTCTGCTGTAAAGTATCCCTTTCAGACTTACTCTAAGATTGTGAGCTAGCACTGGGGAGACTGCCTTGATCCTGGACTGTGTGATTCCATATGCAGTTTATTGAACTATGGAATATCACAGCAGTTTGAAGCTAAAGCTTATCATGTGTGCGGTTGAACGGATTTTAAACTGTTTGTAAGTTGAAATATTTTGTTAAAAGCTTATTGTTCTGGTTAAAGTTGAGCTGGGGGGTACTAAAAGGGGGCAGGACAGCTGCTTATCCAGGAGTTCATGATCAGGTTTAATTCCTTCATTTTATTCATTAAGCCATTCAGAGCTTGAACCAAAATAAAAACAATTCCTTTTTACTTGTGTTTTTCCTTAAAGAATGAATCTATCTTCATTAACATAAAATTTGAAAACACTATTGTCAAATTTCTTATTTTCTTTCATGGATCTTGAATCATGTTTTTTGGTATCATTGTTATTTTTTTTCTTTCTTAGGGTGGTTTTCCAATTTAAGAGTTCAAAGAAGTCAAATAATGGTACAGATGTTAATGCTGGTCAGATACCTCAATTATTATACAGGTATTTAGCATATTTATAGTTAATTAATAGATTTAGTCCCTTGTTATAATGATCTAGGATACTATAAAATATATGTGACATAATGAAAGAAATTATTTGAAGCATTCAGCAAGTTATAATATACCAGTAGAAATACAGCTATTTTTAACAAAAGCACTTATTTTATATATTTTTAAACATCTTCTACATCAAGCTTAATTTTAAACTTTACCTCATGACTCAGATTATCTGTATTATGCCATTAACAGTATTTTAATAACTTATTTTTTAATCTGGATTTTCATACCCATTTCAAAATATTATAAAGTAATAAAAATTTGTCTCAGAGAAATGCTGTTGGGGTGTTAGATGGGGACTTCAGATGCAGGCCTGATTGATTTGCTGTTGTCTTATGTTTCCTGTTTGTACTGTGATGGAATGAATAGAAAATCCCTTACTGCTGAGGGGCGCCTGGGTGGCGCATTCGGTTAGGTGTCTGATCTTGGTTTCAGCTCAGGTCGTGATCTCAGGGTGGTACGATCAAGCCCCACCTTGGGCTCCATGCTCAGTAACTTGTAACTGTCTCTCTCTGTCCCCCTCCCCCCAACTCTCTCTCTTTCTTTCTCTCTCTTTCTAAATAAATCTTAAAAAAAAAAAAAGAAAATCCCTTACAGCTGAAAAATTTCCTTTTACTTGAAATATCAAATAATAACTTGTCCATGTGATAATATTTATTATATTTATAACATTATTTAAGAATTTTAATTACTTCATGTATTTGAGACATGGAAGCATATGCCTGTGTATCCATCTATTTCTAATAAACTACTGCAGTAATATTTAGAATGAAGAATTTGAATAGATATAAACCCTACTAAAATATGTCATTCTTTGAGTAGCAATAAAATCTAAAGAAATACCTCTAGAACAGTGACTGTCTCTCATGTTTTCCTTCCCTAGTAATCACTTTAAGAATCTAGGTGGTATAAACCTCAGTTTTCCCAAGAAGAGATTTTTGTTTGTTTTTATGCAATTTATTATAGTTTGTGTTTGTAACATGTAGCATTATGAACATAGCAAGTTGCTCGGACTACTCCTGGGTACACTAGTGGAATAACTTCTTAATAATATAGCACTTAATATTTAATAGTAGCATATTTTGCTCTTACAAAATGTATATTTTGAAAAGAAAAATGTCTTTGGACTTTCCAACATAAATTTCTGTGTGTCTGCTACCGTCAGACTTCCAACCAGTGATGGCAGTGCTTCAAAAGGCAAACAGCAAACCAGCGAACCTGTACACATTTTAAAGAGATCTTTTGCAAGAACTGTCTCAGTGGTAAGCCATTTTTTTAAAATTTCAGGTTTTTTGTCCAGTGCTCCCATTTCATTTTGATGTTTTGCATTTAGCCACTCTTCTAAGAGTTCATCTCAGCACAGTTTTATGAACTCAGATGTGTTTTTGTATTACTGAGATCCTGGTCCAAAGAGTATGCCCTTTCAATAATGGGAAGGTAGAGATGTTGGCTGACTTTAACATGAACTTCAACATGAACTGATATAACTGGTGGGTTTTCTTGTTAATCATGTATAAGTGCATATGCTGAAGGAGTTAAAAAGTCAAAGAAAAGTTAAAACTGATACTGACAAAAAGTGGTAGCCTAATGCTTGAGGAGCTAAATAGAAGAGTTGTTTATCTAACTAAGGACTCTGTTGAACTACTTGACCATCCACATTTTACATTTAAAGATATGCTACATTACTGGGGTTGCCAGTGTAGAATGGAAAGCCAACATGATGTAATTGAGAGATCATGGTATGTGTGCCCAGGAAGTCTGAGTTAAGTTCTTGTTCTTTCATTTATTAGTTGAGCATTCTTATGCCAGTTATTTAAATAAACCTTGTGATAGCATCATTATGAATTTCTAATGAGATAAGGGATGCAAAAATGCATCTTACATTGTAAGGCCCTATATGAATGTGATTTATTAATATAGTTGGTAGTCTTTCATGTTCATGAACTGTGTAGGATGAATGCTTTTTTTTTTTCCCCTTTTTTAATTAGTTTTTTAAATCAAAAGATTAATATACATTCCTGGTTGGGAAGAGGGTGGAGTGGGGATAAACCTATGTTAAAAGTATACTAAAGTTCTTTCCCTATCACTCTGTTACTGTTTAAATTTTGATGTATATCCTTCCAGACCATTTTTATACATACACAGACTTGTTAGTTTATATATACAGTATGCTGTACAGCTCTGTTTGTAATGATAAAGTTTTACATCTTCCTTTTTAAAATTTTCGTAGTATCAAGGAATAATCCATGTTAGTATATTTGGTTCTATGTTAATCTTGTATTTGCATAGCATCCTGTAAAATAGTTGTACCCTTAATTTATTCAACCCTGTACCTATCAAAGGACTATTTATTTCTTGTTTTTTTACGATTATGTCCTTCCCTATGCATCTTTGACTACTTACGTACTTATGTGAATATTTCTACTGGAAGTGTGCTGATTTAAATTTTGATATATCATGCCAAATGACCTTCCAAAAGATCTGTGGTAGTTATAGAGATAGTGCTTGCAATAAGAGATTACAAGAACTTTGGCTCCTTGGTATTTTGGCATCCTTTTAGTATTAATATCAGTTAGATACCTTTTGATCCAAATAAGTATCTTGACTTTGTATGTCTTTTTCAGTGATCTCTTTTTCTGTGCTTAGTAATTTTTTGACATGTATGTCTAAGTGGTTTTGTGGTCATTAGGTAATTGTTATCTTTATATAAGAAATGTATTCAACTATTTCTTTAAAAAACTAAACTATAAACTCTTATTCTTGGTATTACTATACCAGAGGACTGGAATTTGGTGGGGATGAGAGAATAAGTGCTTTGCTTTGAGATGATCTAGTATTTGTCATCATGTAAGTATGGTAAAGCCCGCAGAACCACTAGAACTGAAAGGGATGCCCACTACCCTAAACCCATATTGTAGAATTTAAAAATCTAGTAAGAATTTTTTACTATTTTCTAGTTAAATTTTATCTTCTATTAACTTGTTTATCAAGGGTTAGCTGTAGTTTGTGTGGTAAAATTTAATATGTAGACATAAAATAAGTTATTTGATACTGTCACCAATACCTGATACTAAATAAAATACTTTATTATATTAAAAAATTATTAAGGTGGGGGCGCCTGGGTGGCTCAGTTGGTTAAGCGACTGCCTTCGGCTCAGGTCATGATCCTGGAGTCCCTGGATCGAGTCCCGCATCGGGCTCCCTGCTCGGCGGGGAGTCTGCTTCTCCCTCTGACCCTCCCCCCTCTCATGTGCTATCACATTCTCTCTCTCAAATAAATAAAATCTTTAAAAAAAATTATTAAGGTGTTTTAAATACTTTTGGCTTATTTATATAATACTATAGTAACAGTGTAGAGTTTAATTTTGCTTTCAAGTAATCATGTATTTGTAAATGTTTTTAATTTTTTCCCTTATATGATAAACTAGATAGGTTGGTAGCAGGGAAACAAAAACGTATTTTTAAATAGGCAAATATGGGAGCACCTGAGTGGCTCAGTCATTTAAGCCTCTGGCTCTTGGTTTTGGCTCAGGTCATAATCTCATAGGTCGTAAGATCCAGCCGGCTCCATGCTCAGTGCAGAGTCTGCTTGGGATTCTATCCCTCTGCCCATCCCCCTACTTGCTTGTATGTTCTCTTCCCTCAAACAAATAAATAAATCTTTTTAAAAATAAATAGGCAAATATTGAAGAATGTTGTTTTTATACATGCCTAACTACTTTACCTTTTTTGTCAAACTTCAAAGATATTCCTAATGGTAATGTGATCAATGAACTAATAAAATATCCATTATTTGGGCTAATCAAAACTCAGTAAAGAAGTTCAAATAAAGTTTTGAAGTTCACTGTCATCTCTGCATTTGATTCAGCCTATGGTATCATTTGAACTAATTGTTATCTGTTTTTTTATATTCTGGATTAGGAATGTTTTGAGTCATTGTTAAGTATTCTTCACTGGAGCTGGACCACCTTAGTCTTAGGAGTTGAAGAACTTAGAGGATTAAAAGGATTCCAGTTCACAGCTACACTTCTAGATCTAGAGAGACTGCGCTTTGTGGGTACCTGTTGTCTGAGGTTATTGCGTGTCTATACCTGTGAAATTTACCCAGTATCAGGTATGAAGCATGTTTTTAAATTACTTTAGGGAGAAAATATTTGACACATTGGGAAGGTCTGTATAGGGATAACCAGGAGTTTAAGATCCCCAGCTGCCTTTAATCTTCTCCTAAAATGAGGGAAGAAAGTCGGCTTGCCGTATTTATTTTTTATTATTTATTAAGCTTGCCTTATTATTTATTTACTTACAAAGAATAAAACAGATTACGTGTTGATAACAAAAATTCATGTTAAGCTAAAAAAATACTCTAAGAATGTATTATTTTAAACGGATTCGGTCAAATAGAAATTTTTTGAACAACTCATTTGGACTTAAATGCTGAAACCAATGTTCCTGTTGTTTTTGTTTGTTTGTTTGTTTGTTTTTTGCCCTACTTAGATTTTTAAAAGAAATTATTTTGGACCACATTTAACTCTAAATTGTTTCATTTCTTGGTTATGAGTACTTGCAATCTTTAGCTGTATAGGAAATTACTTGAATTATATTGAATATCTCCATGCATATTTATTATTCTATTTAATTAGCAATCTGCTTTGTTCCCTCAAAGCTACAGGAAAAGCAGTTGTGGAAGAAACTAGCAAATTAGCAGAATGTATTGGAAAAACCAGAACTTTGTTAAGAAAAATTTTATCAGAAGGCGTTGACCACTGCATGGTGAAGTTGGATAATGATCCTCAAGGATATCTCAGTCAACCCTTGAGTCTCCTAGAAGCTGTCCTTCAGGAGTGTCATAATACCTTCACTGCCTGTTTTCATTCTTTCTACCCAACTCCTGCCTTACAGTGGGCTTGCCTGTGTGATCTGCTGAATTGTTTGGATCAGGTAATTTAAGTTTGTAAAATGTGGATTGAAGAATGATATATTACTTAATACTCTTCAAGAAAATAAAGTGCTGTTGCCTCAATCTTTCTAACTTTTATAAAAGGTAAATTAGGACATTGGCTTGGTATGACTTACATAATGTGTGACTTACATAATCCAATTTGAAGGACTTGTTTTTTTTTCTGTGCTTTATCATTCTTAGTTATAAAATTGGCAGGCACATTGCACAGCTGCTGATTTGCTCTTTGAATCTGTGAGTGAGTGTGCACATGTAAGAGAGCAAGAACAATCCGTGAGTGTGTGTGTAAGAGCAAGGATAGCGCTAGAAGGGCAGCTTCTGCCACCCACATATCTTCAGAACGGTCAGGAGAGAGAGCTGTGAGTGAACTTGCTTGCTAATAACATTCATTCTTGAGGAAACTGCAAGCCTCATAAATGTGTATGCTCCAAATCACAGTTTCAAAATACTTGAGGCAAAAAACTGACAGAATTAAAGGGAAAAATAGACGAATTCACAAGGATACTTGGAGATTTCAGTGCTCCTCTTTCAGTAATTAACAGAACAAGTAGACCAGAAAATCATTAGAGAAATAGAAGATCTGAACAGTGCTATCAACCACGTTGGTTTTATTGATATTTATAAAACAGAAAGTGCAAGTGCAGAATACATGTTATTTCCATGTATACATATCATGTTCACAAAGATAGATCATATGCTAGGCCATAAAACAAGTCTTAGTAAATTTCAAAAGATTAAAATTAAAGAGTTTCAGACCACAATAGAACTAAACCAATGGCAAAATATATTGAGAAAGGCACTAAATACTTGGAAAATAGACAACACTTACAAGTAACCAGTGAATCAAAGTAGAAATCGAAAGGAAATTGGAAACTATTTCATACTAAAAGATAAAAGTATAACATCAGAATTTGTGAGATGTAGCTAAAGCATTAAATGATAATACTAGCAAAGAAGAAAGGTTTAAAATCAGTGATCTAAGTTTCTACCTAAAGAAGTCAGAAAGAATTAGCAAACCAAAGTAAGAAGAAAGTAATCAAGATGAAGGAAATAATAAAGATAAGAGCAGAAACGACTAAAGTAAAAATAGAGAAAATTGACAAAGTTGAAAGTTGGTTCTTTGAAATGAAAACCAAATTAATAAACTCCTAGCAAGTCTGATTGAGAGACAAGAGAGAAAGAAAAAACACAAAATACCATGATCAGGAATGAAACAGGGAATATCACTGTAGATCCAGAAAACTGATAAGGGAATATTATGAACAACTTTATATGAGTAAGTTATAACTTTAGATAAAGTAGACAAATACCTTGAAAAATACAGCTTAACCAAAACTGACACAATAAGAAATAGAAAAATCTGAACTGCCTTATATCCATTAAAAAATTGAATTTATTATCAAAGACTTTCCCACAAAGAAAAGTCCATACCCAGATAATTGTCATTGCTGAATTATATTAAATTACAAGAAAGAAATGATATCAGTCTTTTACAAACTCTTTTAGAAAATATAGGAGACAACATTTCCCACTAATTTAGTCAAGTTAGCCTTATCCTGATACCAAAACCTGACTAAGATATTAGAAGAAAAAATTAGTACAGACAAACATTACTCAAACATAGATAACAAAAGCTCTTAACAATATTATCAAATCAAATCCAGCAATATAAAAAATACATCACACCCAGTAGGGTTTTTCTTAGAAATGCAAGATTAGTGTAACTTTCAAAAATCAATGTAATTCACCATATTAACTGAATAAATAGAGAAAACTGTATAATCCTCTCAATAGGTAATGAAAAAGGATTTGACAAAATTAGCACTTACTCAGTGATGAAAACTTCTCATCAAACTAGGATTTAAGGAAACTTCTTTAATCTAGGATTATAAAGGATATCTACAGAAGAATTTACAGTTAATATCATACTTAATGGTGAAATATTGAATACTGCCCTAAGTTCAGGAACAAGGCACGAGGTAACTGTTCTCACCACTTCTATTTAACATTGTAGTGGAAGTTCTAGCGCCTTCTCCCCTAAGAAAGTTCACTGTCATCACCACGGTATCCTAGCCTATTTGAAAGATAGTCCAGTGATGACATCTGGGTAGGCAACTTTGTTTTTATTTTGTTACTACTATTTTTTAAGCAATTTCCATACTGAATTTATTCTTAGTATTAAAAAAACTATTTCATTGTGGCAAGAACACTTAACATGAGAGCTACCTCTTAATACACTTTGAGCATATAATATGATATTGTTAACTACGGGTATGATGTTGTATGGGAGATCACTAGCGCTTACTCATCTTTCATAACTGAAACTTTATACCCGTTTAACACAACTCCCCACTTCCCCCTTCTCCCAACCATTCTATTCTCTGCTTCTGTGAGTTTGACTATTTTAGATACTTCATATAAGTGGAATCGTGCAGTATTTTGTCTGTCTCTGACTGGCTTATTTCACTCATTGTAGTGTCCTCCAGGTTCATCCATGTTCTATAGCAGAGTAGTATATTTTACCAGTCGGTTTCCTGGGACAAGATTATTGCCTGGATTAGTGCACAACTTACTCTGTCGACCTGTGCAGTCTCATATGGTTGTTTTCTTTGCCACTGAACAGGTTACAGGCAGGCTAACTTTAACAAATGTTGGTTTAACAGATAGGATGTTGCATTTAGCCTGAATTTGTAACACAGATGTTTGCTGAACTAAGTAGTGTGTACGCAGTTTTTGTGAATTAGTATATCCTGTCTTGGTAAGTTTTTAATATTTTGTTAAAAAATCGGGGAACCTGCGTGGCTCAGTTGGTTAAGCATCTGCCTTCAGCTCAGGTCATGATCTCAGGGTCTTAGGCTCCATGCTCAGTGGAACGTCTACTTCTCCCTTTCCTTCCCCTCCTACCCCTGCTCCCACTCCTGCTCTCTCTCTCTCTCACTCAAATAAATAAATAAAATTTAAAAAGAACTTACAAGTATGCTACTTATTTTTTGAATAAACTATATAATGTGATGACATAATTTTGTGACCTTAGCAAAATGTTTATTATAGTAGCTATTCATTATGCTACATTACCATTAGTGAAATGTTATAGTAGCACCGAATTACAATTTAAATCATTTGTTATTGGAAGAAAGCGGTTTCAGTGCTTGTTTTACTGGACATGGATATATACTGATTGGGGCCTTTTTGATGTCATTCTTTGAGCGTCGTGCTAAAGAGGACTATGATTCTGAGGATATATTAAAGTCATTGATTGGAGAATAGGACCATATTTAATAATTTTTCCATCTTCGTTGGGTAGTAACTTGAACAGTTGTGTTTTTTAAAAGTATTGATATAATTAAATCCCATAACACGACAATTAAAATGAATCCTAGAAAATTTTGGAATAATTTAAGAAGTTGTTTACCTTTTGTATACCCAAAAATGTGGATTATATTGATGCCGTATTTCTTTGGTGGGTGCATATTTCTCTTTCTAAAAGGATATCCAAGAAGCAAACTTCAAGACCTCAAGTAGCCGACTGCTTGCAGCTGTTATGTCAGCTCTGTGCCACACTTCTGTTAAGCTGACTTCTATCTTCCCTATTGCATACGATGGAGAAGTACTACTACGATCAATTGTTAAACAAGTTAGCACAGAGAATGACTCAACACTAGTTCACCGGTTTCCCCTTTTGGTAGCACATATGGAAAAACTCAGCCAGGTAGGTCTTTTTCTGAAATATCTTTTATACTGAAGCAATAAAACTACAAATGAGGGCATATTTAAGTTGGTGCTTATTCTTCTATATTGGTATTTACCAAATAAGTATGTGTTTCACAAGAAGAGCTAAAATTCAGGAGGAAAAATTTTCTTATGTTTACCTATAAATCTGCAATATTTTTTCTCTAATTCTTAAATTCTGAATGAAACCTAACCTATAAAAAAAAAATGTGAGGGTTATGCAATGAATTCCCATGTATTTGTTATTTGCCAAACCATTTGACAGTTGCAGATACTATAAGCAAACTTTTAGATTCTAATATTTAAATTGCCAAGATAGAATTCGAGGGAAATAAATAAATTTTTGAAACATTTTTTCTATAACATTTTGGTATGTTAAAATAAACATTCTAAAACAGTCATAGTAGTAACCATTTCTGGTTTATTAGAAAGCACTATAGAGAAAAATTAAATACACAAGAAAACCATATGTAATATTATCAAGTTGATGAGAAGTAATCTTTAAAATGAAAGCCAAGAAAAGCAGTAGAATATAGAATAGTATCCTAATGTACAATAGCAATTTTCTGTTGACTGAAGCAACAGAAAAATTATGAGAAAATTGTAAGTGACATATAGAATGAAGGACAATAGCAGAATGGGAAAGAAAACTTACAGTTAATATAATACCTTTGTAGAATTACAGTAGAAATAATAAGAGTAAATACAAGAGGGACTTTAGAGAGCAAGCCAGCATGGGAAAAATTTCAGCCTTACTAGAAACTAAATGTGAATGAATTGAGGTACTGATTTATTTGTAAAAAAATTGGGAAAATTGATTTTTTTTTCTCTTATTAAGTCCTACTCTGGTGAGACTATGAGGAAACCTACTAAACTTTTGGATGGTTTCTGGCATTATGTAATTAGTCTAAGTAATCTTTTTCTTTCAGCAAGTTTATTGTGTACCTACTATTTACTGGGATTGTAATTAGTTGAGACAGGAGTAAAAAAGATAAACCAGCTCCTGAATTGGCGGGGCAGGGGGTGTCTATAAACTGGAAGATATTCTTACAAGATAAATTGCCAATTCAGTATTAGGTGTGATGAGTATTTGCAAAGGAAATTACCCAAGGGAATAATTGAAAGACTAAAGCTTTATGTGTATTTTATTAAAAGGAAAAATGGAAAGCCTTAATTAGAGCCTTTTATGTTCATCACTAGGTGAAATAGTTTAATTTGGATATATCAGTGTGATAAAAAAGGGCTTGGCCTTTAAAAATAACTATATTTACATTTAATATCAAGGGTGATGTTGAGGTGCCTGGGTGGCTCAGTCAGTTAAGCGTCTGCCTTTTGCTTAGGTCATGATCTCAGGGTCCTGGGATTGAACCCCATGTTGGGCTCCCTGCTCAATAAGGAGTCTACTTCTCTCTCTGCCCCTCCTCCCCTCCCCCAACCCTGCTCGTGCTTTCTCTCTCTCTCAAATAAGTAAAATCATAAAAAAAAAAAAAAGGGTGATGTTTTTACATTTTTAAATTAGAAAATCAGAAACCAAAGTATATATACTTTATGACTATGGTATACTATGATGACTGTGTAAACTATGTATGCAAAAGGCATATGTATTTTTTAATATGTATGTAGTATGTATTTTGAAAGAATACTGAGAAATGAAAATAATGCTTAGGTGATAAAGTTATGGATAATTCTCTGTTTTTCTTTTAGAATTCACTTTAGTGTTACAATCTTTCCTTAAAAGTATAGTAAAATTTAAAAATATTTAAAAGTTTTCAGAACCACACACATTTGGTAATTATTAATAATTGTATATTTGTATGTCTTTGTTAATATTCTATGAAGATAGTACATATCCTTCTATCCTTTTCTTAATAGATATTGCAGGATTCTACCATTTGGGTATAGCATAATTTAGTTAATGTTTTCCCTCTACATATATATACATATTTAGATTATTCCCAATATTTTAGTATTTTAATCATGCTACTGAAAGTATCATTGACTACATTTTTATGCATATTCATGGAGATCTTTCCAGAGTAAATCATCAGGAGTGGAAAAATTCTTAAGTAAAAGGAAAACACCTCAAGACTTTACTACAAATTGTCAAAATGCCCTCCAGAAAGCTAGTGTCAGCTTGCATTCCCCACCACTGGTGACTGAATTCCTTTCTCTAAAATTTAAGTGGCTAGTGATGTGCATATATGTATATGTATATTTTTTTGATTCTTCAACTAAAACACTGACACTATTAACTCCATTTTAAGATTATATGGGAAGCTTCTTGTATTAATCTTGTTAGTTACTAATAGACACTAAGTGGGTATAACTAGATAAATACACTTCACCCATCCCCCTAATAAAGCCCTTCCAAGATTATTGATTATGGAGTACAATTGGGGATTGAGTTTCATCCAAAGCTGATTTTCTGAGAAGTTCCAAAAAGTAAAGTTTCTGGAGAATCAAAGTGATGTAAAGGATAGAAGAATTACAATTTTAACAAAATCAGGAATTGATTATTTTAAAGCCAGGAAAACTAATTACATAAGAAGCTGACGTGTTATGGTAATTTTATTCAAATGATAATAGAAATAATTTAAAGATGGAAGATTATCTCTAAGTGACTTTTTGTTCAGCCTAAGATTGTACATTAAGAAAGATGTATAATAATGCTTATCATGATTTTAACTGAAAAGTTACTTAATTTTCTGTCATGGGTTGAATGTGTACTCCATTTACATATTTGATTTGTCTTGGGAAGGCTGACTTCCTTGAGATTTTATGACTTTATGAAATCTGTTGAATTTGTTACATATGCTGTATGTCATAATGCAGTATGGAATGTTAGTATTGTGGAAGAACTTACCTATTCAGGGGGCAACCAGGTGATTTTGATAACTGAATCATAGCATGTAATTCCCCTGATTTTACAAAAGTTGAGGCACTATGAAGAAACTGGAACTAAATCTCAGGTGGTTTGATTCACTAGTCTGCAGTAAAATCAAAAGGGTCATTGCTCACAATTGGCCCCCTCACAAAACCAGATACATTTTGCTCCCTGTCCATAGCGGGCTAAAAGATATCAGGGATGGTAAAAAAGATAAATAGTGTTCATGCTGGATATCAATTAAATTAATCATCTTTTCCCTTTATTTTTGGAAAAAAAAAAAATTTTCCCCCTTAGTCTTTAATGGGACTTCATAATTTCTTGAAATTTTTCCATTGGTAGGGGTTGGAATTTCTTAGGAAATCAAGTACAGTAGAAAATGTAAAACTGCATAGGAGTATTTATAGTAAAATTCCATGTTTTTATTACATTTTATTAGGAAATAGATTTGTACAGACTATTTCTCAGTTGCTTTACCTCGTGTTCGCTTTGGCAGCACATATACTCAGTTGCTTTACCTCTAAATATACCAGAAATAATTATCTTAGATTGGAATCTTGTCCTATAAAAAAAGCTTTTTAGATAGGAGTGTTTTTCTGTCATATGTGATTGTTACTGAGAAGTTAAATAAGAGAATAAGTGAAAGTGACTCAAAGCTAATAAAAAACATCTTGTAAAGATGTACTTTTATGATACACAGAATAATTGAAAAAAGAACTTCTAAGTGAAAAGTAAATTCAGTGGTTCCACGCACAACTGGATGGATTTATAGACACAGAGTCAAGCGTGAATATTAAGGGTGTAGGAAAATAAAGCAGTAGTATCTTGGAACTTTTTTCTTTTTTCATGTATCTTAGAGTGAAGAGAATATCTCAGGTATGACAAGCTTCCGTGAAGTTCTGGAGAAAATGCTGGTTATTGTTGTGCTCCCAGTCAGGAATAGCCTGAGGAGAGAAAATGAGCTCTTCTCCTCCCACCTGGTTTCCAACACCTGTGGATTGCTGGCCAGTATTGTCAGTGAACTGACAGCATCAGCCCTGGGATCTGAGGTAGTGTTATATTTTGAGATTGGATAATAAGCACATGTTTAAACTTTCCACAGTTTCTTTTTTCATATATTTTGGCTTTGTAGAAACTAATTTTAATCCCATTTGTATTGTTTTTCTTTAAAACAAAACCAAACCTTCAAGCTAAATTGTTTGGCTTTCCCTTCCTTATACCTCTTCTTTGCTCTTGCTTGCTCCCCCTCTCTCTCTCACATTTACCCAGGATCTCACAGTAACACAAACTGTATGTTTTCCTCTCATATGCTCCATAGTACAACCTCACTGCCATGTCCCAATGGAAGCAAAAATCGTTCACGTTGCTGGGTAATGAGTCATAGAAATGGGACTACTAATAGTGAACACATGGTATGGAGAAGGTAAAGAGGTTTAAACCTTAGTTCTGCGCACTTGACTGACACTAGACAAAGAACGTATGTAAAACGGGCATTCAGCACACTCAGATTGTTGTACAGCCATGACCACAAAATTTTTAAAGGATCAAATATTATTGTGTTTGAGAAAACTACTTCAAAAGGGCTTTACATGCTGTAAAGTAACATTATTTTTAACCATTTCACTGCCCTGCTCACTCTGTTGTACAATTTATATAAATGTTTTGACTGAATTTAGTGAAGTTTTCTAATTTTTTCCCCAAAAAAGCAGACAGAAGATTGGTTTTGAAAATCATGTCGTAATGTGAAATACCTTATATCACTCAAATGAATGTTTAATAGCTAGCATATATTCAGTTGCCTGCCAGATAACATCTTTTCTCTTTTCTCTCTTTTACTTTTATAATTCCTAGCCCTTGCTTTTTCTTACTTACAGATTTATTTTAGGATCTATGCTGAATTAATCTATCCAGGCTGTACTCATTTCTGATTCATAGTGACAGTTTAGCCTTTAGGATTTCTGAATGATTACATGTACCTGCACATATTTTAGTATTTCACCCTGGGAAGCATTTCCTTCATTTCTTTGTTAGCTTTGACTTTGGCACAGGAGGTCACTGAACCCTTGTCAGAAGATTTTAATTTAGTTCGTTTTGGGTTTTTTTGTTTTTTGTTTTTTTTTTCACTTAGTCATCAGCCTATAATATACTTCCCTTCTGTACCGATCCTGGAAGAGAAAGTCTGTGATGCATAGCTCCCCCTCAGAAGGTTACTATCTAGTTTTCCCTTGTGAACTTAACTTTTTTTTTTTTAATGAAAAAGAATGCCCCAAATTGCAGGTGCCTAATATACAAACTTGGAAGTTTCCAAAGGTCCTTGCTTAGACATCCATATTTCTTTCTTTCCCAGAGCAGTTTGAAATTCTTGCTAGAATCATAAACTTCAGTTTTTTTCCTCTTATAGGTCTTCCAAATTTCTGCAGCCTTAGATCAAAAGCTGGCTCTGTAATGAAAAAGAGCAGTTTCAAGCCAAAATAAGTTTACTGATCCTCTCTAACAAGTCTGTAATTAGTGAGGTTGTACTTGTATATATATATTCAAATATTGAATGCCAAGTTATAACATACATTAGTGGTATTCAAACTTAAGACATAGAACATTTCCTGCAAATGAAGTCTTCAAAACTCACAGATGAGAGGGGGGATAGTCTGACTGACGGAGGGAAACTTGAGTCCACCTCTTTCTGGATTACCCATCTCTGCGGAAGTCCTAGAGCTCTGTGTCACATGGTTTGAAAACTGCTGGTCCATAGAATGTTAGTGAAATTTTGGTATCTCTTTTCAAAGTGAGTGATATAATTCATTCATATGTTATGACTGTAATAACTTACTGGTATATAGTTCTGACATTATAAATTAAGTGAAATGTATAGTTTCCTATGACTAAGAGAAGAAAATACTGTCAAGTGATACTGATTTGTAAATTTAGAATGACAAAATCTGGTTTTATTGCTGGGTAATCTCTATAGAATGTACGTTTAGGAGGGTTTACAGCCAATTGTTAAATGTAGGTTATCTTTTTGAACTTCTTGGAAATTTGGGATTTTGTTAAAGGTATATTAACGCTCAGGTACAGACTACTGATGTGTAATTGTGCTTTTGTTTGTTCCTAGGTTGATGGACTTAATTCTCTCCACTCTGTTAAGGCCAGTGCTAACCGATTCACAAAAACAAGTCAAGGAAGAAGTTGGAACACTGGGAATGGGTCCCCTGATGCAATCTGTTTTTCAGTAGACAAACCTGGAATAGTTGTGGTTGGTTTTTCTGTCTATGGAGGAGGTGGAATTCATGAATATGAATTAGAGGTATTGGTTGATGATGTAAGTACCTCTCTTCCAGTGTTCATCTTGCTGTGTGGGTTACCATTATCATAGTAAGACTGCCTAAATCTTTGAGGGGTTAGCTGATTAGTCATTAGTCATGGCAGACATGAAAGAAAATGAGAGTGATTCTGCATGATTGCTTGTGTGCCATTCTGGATCACTTCTGCCTCATATTTTTTGCACTTCCAGGGGAAATGTTAAATGAAAAGACTAGAAATTATATAGCTAAGCTCCTAATGATAACTTCTGTATAATTTTTTTTGCTATTATAGTTTTTTAAGAAACAAGAACAATATTCAGGTCGATACTATTATCTGTATCAGTGATTAAAGCAATTTTGTCATAGAGTGTTAATGGATGATTCTTAGTAAAGATAGTATTGATTGATTGATTAAGCTCTATCTTGCTCTATTCTCTAAATTATTTAAAGAACCCGAGTTTTCACAAAGTTTTATTAAAATGGGACAGAAAGTTACCGTGTAAATCATTTCATAATAAATAGAAATCTTTCCGTATCATGATTCTTTTTAGCAATTAATTTAAATTATTTCCCTACTTCATTAGGTTCTATAATTAGAGTTGCACTCTCCTAATGAAGAAGTGGGAATCATTTTAAAACATCAGATGAGAAAATCCCATTTATATGATTTAGGTTCTAGAGTCCTCAGGAAATCCGATAAAAGTGAATAGTTTAGCATTCCAGAAATTTTTTCTTCAATATGTATAGGGGAATGCTAATGGATAATTTTATATACAAGAAAATAAACTGCTTAAAAACAATAAAACAAAATTAAGAATATGGTGGGTTTTGTCTTATTTTGTTTTAATTAGAGCGAACATGCAGGAGATTCGACTCATTCTCATAGATGGACATCTCTAGAATTAGTCAAAGGAACCTATACAACAGATGATTCACCCAGTGATATAGCTGAAATCAGACTTGACAAAGTTGTTCCTTTAAAGGTAATTTCAGTTATGTTTCTTTTGTAAATAAGAAGTATTATTATGTAGCTTACTTAAAAAGTAATGAAAAGGGCACCTGGGTGGCTCAGTTGGTTAAGCGACTGCTTTCGGCTCAGGTCATGATCCTGGAGTCCCAGGATCGAGTCCCGCATCGGGCTCCCTGCTCGGCAGGGAGTCTGCTTCTCCCTCTGGCTGTCCCCCCTCTCATGTGCTCTCTCTCTCATTCTCTCTCTCAAATAAATAAATAAAATCTTTAAAAAAAAAAGTAATGAAAAGTATTCCTTTAAGTGGTGCTTTAAATGTTTATAGAGTCACTACTATACTCCTGATACTGTACTGTATTATATTCTGTTTTTGCAAAAGATCTCTTAAAATCTGGTATAGTAGAAAGTATTGTTAGGTTTTGGAGTCAGACAGAAGTAGCTTCAGGTGCCTGCTCTTCCACAAAGTAGCTCTAAGACATTGGACATCATTATTTAGCTACTCTGGGACTTACCTGTAGGTTGGGAAGGATAGTATCTACATTGTAGTGTTGTTCAGAGGAAATTAAATAATGGCATAAAGTACTTGGCTCCATGCCTAACACAGTATAGAAGCTTAGTAAATATGAGTTCCTGTCTTTCCTTCTCTCATTGTGCCAAAACTCACTTTTTAAAAAAATGGGCTTGGGGCACCTCGTTGGCTCAGTCGGTTAAGCGTCTGCCTTCGGCTCAGGTCATGATCTCAGGGTGCTGGGATCGAGTCCTGCATCGGGCTCCCTGCTCAGCGGGGAGCCTGCTTCTCCCTCTCCATCTGCCTGTCACTCTGCCTACTTGTGCTCTCTCTTCTGTCAAATAAATAAATAAAATCTTAAAAAAAAAAAAAAAGTGGGCTTAATAGAGTATTAACTATTAAAGTTACTATTACTTTATATAAAAGTTATTTATTCATATAACTTTATTGTCTAGCAGTAAATAACAAATTAGCAAAACAGAAATTTTACTTAACCTTAATTACAAATGGAGTAATTCTGAATTCAACTGTATATTATTATTTTTATTATAGAGCAGAATTTTGGATAAGGTAAGTTCATCAGAGACATTATCAAAGAGAGTTCAGGTACCAAAAAACAAAAAATCTTCACTATGAAGTTTATATCGTAGATCATAAGGCACCAATGTCTGTATCTCATGTTTTCTATGCACAGTGCATCTTATTTGAGACAACTTCTGCTTTTGAATATTTTTCCCATTTCTGTCCACCTAACCATTTCCGACTTTGAGTGTCTCTTAAAAAGATATAGTAGACTCACCATTATTTTTTCCCACATTTGAAATTATTTCAAAATTTAAACCCATCAAAGAAAAATATTAGATTATGTTATTTTAAATCTTTTGTTGTGGTTAATACTCTACATTGTGGTTAAGAGCAGGAACCATCCTCAGACTATCTATATTCAAATACTAGTTCCATCACGTATTAGCTGTGTGACTTTGAGTGAGTTACTTAACTTCTCTGTGCCTCAGATTCCTCATCTGTAAAATAGGAATAGTAATGGTACTTAACCTCATGAGGTCATTTTAAGGATTAATTTGATTAAAGCACATGAAGTACTTAGTATAGTTCTTGTAAAATAATAAACATCACTAAGTGTTACTTATCTTCCTGTTTGACATTAAAAATGTGTTTAACCAAATCATCTATAAATATGACAAAGAAATTCAGTTTATTTGCCCAGTTTTTTTATTTCCTCTGTACATTATAAACATGTTTTACATCTTGATTGTGAAGGAAAATGTTAAATATGCTGTGCGCTTGAGGAACTATGGAAGCCGTACAGCCAATGGAGATGGGGGAATGACCACAGTTCAGTGCCCTGATGGTGTGACATTCACATTCAGCACATGCAGCTTGAGTAGTAATGGCACAAACCAAACCAGAGGACAGATTCCACAGATACTCTACTACAGGTAAATGTGTGTATAGAGGTAAGGAGACTGTTGTAAAGTGACAGGAACCATACAGTTTATTACCAAGGTAAAAAATGCTAATAAATGCATAGTTATAATTCTAGTGTAACTGCCTTGCACATACTTGTGCTAATCTATGTAAAAAGATCTCATTTCAATATATAAATTCAGTGTTTATTGTAAAGGTGAATGCTTTAAAATGTTTTTGTCATTATTTCTTTAATATCTTTGACATTTTTATGTCTTGGACATATGTGCTATTTGTTGTTACTTTTATAGTTTGTTGTCTACAGTTTCAAATTTAAGTGGAATTTATTCATTTCTTTTTAAAAATAGCAAAAATTGATGATCACATCAACTCTACCCAACTACTAGTGTTGCCTTGATCCTATTATCCAGTCTGCAGTATATTTTGATGTCTGTGAATCTAGTTCTGAGGACCCTAGAGTATATCATGATGTGTTCCTTAACCATTCCTTATATAAACAGTACAAAAAAAAATAATAACAATTTGGGGTAAAAAAAACTTCTAAATGTACTTTTGTCATCACATCTCAGTTTTTCTTTTAGTGAATTAGCTGGAATCACAGGTAGTGAGTATCATTCACCATATCTACTAACCTCAGTCTGACTTAGCCTCAGATCCCACCAAGGTTGTGTATCACTTTCAGAGATTTGCTGCTTTCTCTCTTTCCTTCATAAACAATCTGGGAACACTGCCTGGGCAATTTGTACAAAGCTGTTGCCCTGAATGTAGATTTTTCTCCTGCCTTTTTCCATGTGAAATAAAATAGAAATGGTAGGTGTTAAATAGCTTCCTGGTGGTGTGTTGCTGCTGAGATACAAGTTTTTGTTTTTGTTTTTTTTTTTTAAAGATTTTATTTATTTGAGAGCGAGAATGAGAGACAGCATGAGAGGGAGGAGGGTCAGAGGGAGAAGCAGACTCCCTGCTGAGCAGGGAGCCCGATGCGGGACTCGATTCCGGGACTCCAGGATCATGACCTGAGCCGAAGGCAGTCGCTTAACCAACTGAGCCACCCAGGCGCCCTGAGATACAAGTTTTCTAGTCCTTTTACCGAATCATGAAAAACTTTTTGTTACACAGCACCACAATAAATAGTATTCTCTTTCTCAAACCATACATTAAAAAATCATATCATGCACAGAAGTTATATATTTCAAAAAGCTGGAGAGCCCCTTAGAAGCATCTGCTATCTAGACTATTTCTTACACAAAATACAGTGTTTTAGGTATTTTTGTTTCCCACCAAGCTTTACATACCCTTAGCTTTAAATTTAAAATTAATTAAATTTAGGGGCATCTGGGTGGCTCAGTCAGTTAAGCATCCAACTCTTGATTTCATCTCAGGTTGTAATCTCAGGATTGTGCGATCAAGCCCCACATCAGACTCCGCACTGGGCATGGAGCCTGCTTAAGATTCTCTCTCTCCCTCAACTTCTGCCCCTTCTTCCCCTCCACACACGTGCACTCTCTCTCTCTCTCTCACTCAAATTAATTAATGAATTAATCAAACAAAGTAAAATGTTCTAAATCTGACTTTTTCTAATTCCCATAATTAACAGTTCAGTCCAAGCCATCACTACTGCTCCCTGGGTAACTCTCACAGCTTCTAACCCAGTCTCCCTCCTTTTGCCGCGGGCCTGCTGCATTCAGTTCTGCACGGTGCAGCCAGAGGGATCTTACAGAAATGTACATCGGTCAGGTCTGCCCTTGCTCAGAGTCCTCTCACAGCTTCCCATCCCAGCATGAAATGTAAGGTCTCACAGAGGTGTACAAAGCTCACATGATCTGACTCCTGTCACCCTCCATGTCCTTTCATTCCAGTCACACTTGTCACTCTGTTCCTTGAACTTGCTGATCTTGTTCTTGTCTGAACCTTTCTCTTACTGTTCTTTTGCCTAAATACTTTTCCCTCAGCTTTTTTTTTTTTTAACATAATTCAGGCCTTTGTTTAAATATCAGTTCCTAAGATACACTCTCCTTGGTCTTGTTTTAAAATAAATTTAAGTGAGGAGCTCTGATCTAAATATGATAACTGGACTTAGATCGTGTTTTACCTACCATGTAAAATCTCATGCGTGACTCTTGTTACAGGAGTGAATTTGATGGAGATTTACAATCCCAGCTTCTAAGTAAAGCCAATGAAGAAGATAAAAACTGTAGCAGAGCTCTCTCTGTGGTAAGCACTGTTGTTCGAGCTGCAAAAGACCTCTTGCACAGAGCTCTTGCTGTGGATGGTAAGACTTTTATTTTCTTAATAGTCATATTTTAGATTCTTTATTCTCTAACTTGTACACAGAGTTACTGAAACGAACCGTCTTATAGAATCCCAGAGTGTTTTATTCATTGTAGATGTGTACATACATATACATTCATTTTGTATCAGCCATACCCTCCATATGCAGGATTTTTTAGAATGTTCAAAAGCAGTTACCTGATACCTGTTATTTTCTTACTTAACCTAGTAAGACAAAAACTCTCCCATTAAGCTGAGTCTTTGCTTTATCCTTCCTTTAGGCGTCAAAAAGCATTTTGTTTTCTCTTTTAGGTGTGTTTTTCTTCCTATATATCGCATTTCCAGTAATGGTATCACCATTCACCCAAAGATCTGGGTAACCCAAACTCACTTATCTGATGTGAGTTCTGTGAGTTCTTCCACTGGCAACTCTCCAGTTGGTATTCCCCTATCCCTTCTTCCATAGTTCAAGCCACCACGGTGCAGGGCATGTGTCCTCTTCCTCATGGATGGATAGCATCCCAGCAATCTCACTGCCACCTTTCTCCCGCTCCCTGTCTAGTTACCTGGTCACCCTCCACACTGGCAGCGGAGTTCATTTACAAAAGGATTCATTGCTACCCACCCAGTCTTACTGTTAGCTATAACATGTATTCCTAAGCCTAGTGCACACCTGGGAATCACTTAGTGAATCACCTGGGGAACTTCCTAAAAATAAAGAATATTTGGCCTATCCAAACTAAAGGTTTGGGTTGGGCTAAGAAACTGTATTTTTAAATAAGTGCATCCTATTGTGACACAACAGCAGATCTAGAAAGAAGTACTTGGGAATAATTGGCCTTTAATATAAAGATCATCTCAGTCTAGACTCAACTTATCTTCCTAGCACCATGCTTATAGATAAATGATTAAAATGTCCATCAGCAAAATGCTTTCTCTGGTAAAATAGAAGGCAGTATAGCTTAATAACAGTAAGCATTTTTGTAGTGCTTAATATGTGCAGGCATTGTTCTAAGTGTTTTACATATATTAACTTAATCTTCATAACATCCAGTGAGGGAAGTACTGTTATTATTCTTTTGTACAGAGGACTAACCTGAGGCACATACCAATTAAGTAATTGGCCTAATGTCACACGTATAGCCATGTCTGGTATTAGCGGTAGTGGTTTAAAATCATGGCTGTTACTGTAGGTTCTAATCCTGGCTTTGTCACTTTACAGGTATATGATTTTGGATAAGTTACTTAACATTGTATGCCTTGGTTTCCCCTTGTGAAAAGCAGAAATAATAAAAGTATCTTATTGTGAGGATTAATTTGAGATGGCTCATGCATATAAAACCCTTAGAATGGGGCCAGGTCCTTTATAAGCATTCAGTCAATGTCAACTATAATTTTATTGTGCTCAAGAGAATGGAATATAGATTTAGTACAGCATATATACATTACAATGAAATTATGTTCTAACTATAGTTTTAATGCCTTTTTTAGCTGATGACATTCCAGAACTGCTTAGCTCTTCCAGTCTGTTTTCCATGCTGCTTCCCCTTATTATAGCCTACATAGGACCAGTAGCTGCTGCTATTCCCAAGGTGTGTAATTTAATTCTGTAATTTTGAATATTTTTTTAAATATCTTTTTTTTTTTAGACTTTGTATCTATCCTTTATAAACACTTTGATCTTCGAGGTACCTGGGTTACAAGTATAACACGTAAGGTTAGACAAGTTAAATGGTAAAAGTTATCAGTTAAATCTCACTGTTCTTCGTTTTGTTTATTGGATTGCTGTGCTTACTGGCTTTACATTTGAAGAATTTGGGAATGAGAAATATATTTTAGAATTATGATATGTAAGGAAACTTAAGTTAACTTAGATTTTTGTAATTTATGAAGTTGATGCCAAATCTTTCTTTTTGGGTAAGAATAGCAATTTAGAAGAATAGGAGTCTTTTACAATTGTGAAATAGTCAAGACATGAAGGAAATCATAAACTATTGATTCTTTGGCATAATTAAATATTGAGTAAAACCCAGTTTACAGCAGATCACAAAAAGGCAAAGTGTTTAAAAGTATAGACGAGGTTATTTTCATATGACATCTAAGACATCTAAGGTAAATGTTTTTTTTCCATAGAACAAATTTCTCTTTGAATGAAAACTTAGCTAAAAAACTCTCAGTAATGTTCTTCGTAATTAAGGGTAGCCAACAATTATAGTAATTAATCATTTTAAAGCAATTTTTACATTTATTATCTTTTTAATCATTTCTTTTTATACTAGGTGGCTGTAGAAGTCTTTGGTCTTGTCCAACAGTTACTTCCCTCAGTTGCCATTTTGAATCAGAAGTATGCACCCCCTGCATTCAATCCTAATCAGTCAACAGATAGCACCACAGGAAACCAGCCTGAGCAAGGCCTCTCTGCTTGTACAACCTCTAATCACTATGCTGTCATAGAGAGTGAGCACCCCTATAAGCCTGCATGTGTGATGCACTACAAGGTAGGCACCGATTCCTAGGCAGAGTTTAAATTTAAAACTTGATTTGATGTTTTATAATGATATCTTAAAGGATACTTTGCCTCTGGTTAGAAGTATAATTTTTTTATAGTATTTAAATATAGAAATCAGCAGGTGGTTAGGCACTGTCAGAGACACAAAAGGGTTTAAGATAGAATTTTTATGTGCATTGATTTTATATCCTGCCACTGTACTGAATTCCTGTATGAGTTCTAGCAGTTTTGGGGTGGAGTCTTTTGGGTTTTCCACATAAAGTATCATATCATCTGCAAA